CGGGAGATAAAGCAGGGAGGCAAAGAGATAGTAAAAAGGATTCTGGAAACACAATAAATCAACATGTGTAGGAGGAAATCAAAGCAGAGGATAATCCATAGAGAAATGGAACCCCCTAAAAACTACGAGGATTTCCATCTCCCTACTTCAACACACACCCTTGTCTTGATAAAAATGTAAAAGATAGCCTTGAATCAGACAAACAGCTACTGCTAACTGCTCCTCGCGATGTGGGAGCTTTCCTTGGCTCTCCTCAGCACGCGTCATCCTGTTTCAAGTAATGAAATGACAGATTACTTCCAGAGATAATTTTGCATGGATAATTAAATGGGCAATAGTTTGTCTTCATTTGGGCTGAGTGAGAGTTCGAGCATGAGAGTCTGCAGGAGTTAAATTTTTTTTTTTTTTTTTCCAATCAACAGGCCACTGCCCCTCCCGCTACACCCCAATAGATTAGACAAGAAATCTTTTCTGTGCAGACCTAAACATAGTTTATCGGTTCGGAGATCAACCAGAATGCAGCCACGGTCAGCATCCCGCTTCAACAGGAGCCGCGATATCACGAACACCGAAGTATGATGTGGCATATTCTGATTGGTCTCTGAAATATGACATTTAGCGTCCGCACAAATAATTTCTCCGCAATAGACAGTGTGCTAAAAGACAATGGTGCATATTAAGTTTACCTGCATATCTGAGGTCCAGAGGGTGAGGTTGTCGCGGAGGAGCTGCATGATGAGCGTGCTGTCCTTGTATGATTCTTCGCCAAGGGTGTCCAGTTCGGCGATGGCTTCATCAAATGCCTAAGCAGTACATTGCAAAGCATCAGCACATACAATTAACCAAGCGCTGTTCCCAGGAAAAGGCCGCTTTTATTAATGAATAAATCTCAGAGCTGTACATAATTGAAACAAACTAGCAAACTTGCAAGAGAACAATTAGATAAATAAATAAAATCAACGAAGAATGAAAGTTTTTGTATCGTTGAAATGAAACAAAGAAAAATTGGCTTGCAAGAGAGCTGAATAAGAGTTTGTTCGGGTAATTAATTCTAAAACAGAGCGACTAATTTCAGAAGCTGACCGCCATTTTCCCCAATTATTAGTTTAAGGCATCGTTTGGTTTTCCCAACCTTTTTTTGTTCTTAAAGGGAGGTATTACAACGGAGAAGCAGAATTTTTTTTTTCTTCTCAGATCGACGAAAATAAGTGTAGCAAAAGGTATTTTGAAAAAATCACATAAACAAACAGTAAAATAATAATTTTTTTTCAACCGATTAAAATCGAAATAAAAACTTACGGCCAACCAAACGAGGCCTAAGACTTCAGCAAATACCATCCATATTAAGCTAAATTGGCACCTCTAAATGTTACTGTGCAATGACCAAAGTGGAATTGAATAGCTATAGGGGTTTAACAAAGGCCAAAAATTATTTTTCCATAAGCTAAAGCTAATGGAGGAGCAACCAATCACTAGTATACTGTAAATTAGTCTTTGCTTTTCAATAATTTGATGTGTAACTAAACCCAATGATGTTATATGTCCTAAAAAAATTATTAAATCAAGAAGTAGCGGAGAACGGGACGAACGATGATAATTTTTCCATCTGTTCATACAATTTAAAACCTAAAATTAAGGTTGATGATGTGAATAAATAGATAATACCAAGATAGTATTGCAACGCCTTCTTCATTAAAGGTAAAAGAGCAGAAGGACAATAGGCAAGTAATATTGTAGTCAAAATTCAAAAAGAGAAAACAAAAAATAAGTTATTTTTTAACATCGTAATTTGCAAATCGTACCTGCTTCGCTAGCGTGCATGCCCGATCAGGGGAATTCAAGATCTCGTAGTAAAACACCGAGAAGTTAAGAGCAAGCCCCAGCCTAATCGGATGAGTAGGCGCCAGTTCCGCCCCGGCAATATCCTGCAGATCAGATCCTAATGAAACCAAAATCGGCAGAGCTAACGATGTAATTCAAATAAAGGGAATATCCACGCACGACAGACTGAATCTAACAAAATATGACCCTGTAGATGTCAAACATCTAATTCTAACAAGTTGCAATACATATCAGATCCGAAAATAACCAGAGGGGAGATAAACAGCAGGGAAGCGGTTGCCGACCTGGGCGGACTTGTACGCCGTAAGGGTGTTCTCGGCGGCTTCCTTGCGTTCAGATCCAGTCTTAAACTCGGCGAGGTAGCGGTGGTAGTCCCCTTTCATCTTGAGGTAAAACACCTTGGAGTCGCTGGCAGAAGCGGAGGGGATGAGGTGTGAGTCGAGTAACCTAAGAATCCCGCTGCATATGGCGTTGAGTTCCGTCTCGATCTTACCCCTGTACTCCTTGATCGTCGCGACGTGGTCCTCGTTCCCGCGGCTTTCCTCCTTCTGCTCGATGGACGATACGATCCTCCACGAGGCTCGGCGGGCGCCGATCACGTTTTTGTAGGCTACGGAAAGTAGGTTTCGCTCCTCCACAGTGAGCTCCTCCTTATCGGCGGCTGCCGCGACCTTTTCCGTGAACTCAACCATTTCTTCGTACCTTTCCGCCTGCTCTGCAAGCTTCGCCAGGTAGACGTACTCTTCCCTGGTTCCCGCCATCGCCGTAGTTGCAACGAAGACGCTTGATGCGTATAAGGAGAAGGAATCGGAGGGGAGAAGCTGCGGCGACGAGAGGAAATGGAAGCGTGAAAAGAGAGGGAGACGGTTTTAAAGGGATTTATTTTGCACAGCGGACCTCGCGGTCGAGGGAGAAGCAGTGGGGATGGAAGACCCGCAACCGTCCACGCCTAGTGCTGGTGCTGAGCTGTAACTGATCCTCAACATCAATCTCTATCGTTACGGTATAAATACTTTTTTTTTAAGGTATAAAAACTAAATACTTAATAATTATGAAAAAAAAACAGAATTACTATAAAGTCAAAAAATTTTATAAAAACCTATATTTTTGTTCGTAAATTTATTTGGGTGTATATTATTTTCGTACGCAAAATAAATATATGAATAAATACGAAAAAATGTATAGAGATTGCCCTACCAAACAATTTATTTTAATCTCGATGCCCTACCACACATTTTTTTCGTACCAAACAATTTTTGATGATGCAAATGATGTATTTAAAATAAATAATAAATAAACAACTATGCAACGAGATTAATGCCCTACCAAACAATTTTTGATGTGTATATCATATTTAATATCTAAAATATATTAAAATTTGTTGTGTGCTGAATATTTACGGTGGTAGAGAGTGATATAGTTTAGTGTCTTAATTTTGTACGAAGATCCAACTCATAAATAGATAATAAAATATGGTTATAACGTTTATAAAAGACTACAAGTTTTACATGAAAACCTCCGAAAAGTGAAAAAAAAAAAATTATAGAGCCCGGTCCAAGTTGAATGGGTCCACTAGTGTTTGAAATTGATTAAAAATGAGACACTTCCTTAAGAGGAAGGCCTTGGCTCAATGCATCAAATATACATTACATGGTAGGAGTTGGAAGAATCAGTGCTGATAGGTTCGTTTGGGCGGTAGGACCATAGTCGGCAAGCGATGTAGGACGGAAGGAACATAATTGGATGATGATGATCGGAAGGACCGTAGTTGGGCAATAGAGCTAAAAAAGAATGTAGTCAGGAGACGCTAATCGGAAGGACCGTATTTGTGCGTGATGGTCAAAAGGATCGTAGTCGGCGGGCGACAAAGGTTAGAAAGGACCATAGTTTGGTGAAGCTGGTCAAAAAGACCGTAGTTGGCGAGCGACAGAGGCTATAAAGGACCGTAATTGACGATGGTGGCCAGAAGGACCGTAATTGGCGTGAGACGGATTGGAAAGACCGTAGTCCATGGTCAACGAACAGGCGGAGGTTCAACGGTGGTCGGAAAGAACTTAGGTGGTGGTCGACAAACATGCGAAAGTCCGACGATGGTTGGGAAGAACTTCTGCGGCGGTTGACGAACGAGCGGAAGTCTGGCAGTGGTCATCAAACAAGCAGAAGTTTGGGCATTGTATGGAAAAACTCTGGTGGTGGTCGACGAACTGGCGGAAGTCCGACAGTGGTCGATGAATAGATGAAAGTATGTCGGTGGTTGGAAAAAACTCCAATGGTTGTCGATGAATGGGCAAAAGTGCAGTGATGGTCGAGAAGAACTTTTGTGATGGTCGACGAACGAGTAGAAGTTTGGTGGTGGTCGACGAACAGGCAGAAGTCTGATGGTTGTCGGGAAAAACTCCGGTGGTCGCCAACGAATGGGCGGAAGTCTAGCAGTGGTCGACGAATGGGCTGAAATCCAGCAATGGCCGACGAACAGACTGAAGTTAGGCACCGATCAACGAACATACAAAAATTTGGCGGTGGTCGGAAAGAACTCTAACGGTGGTTGACAAAGGACCATAAGTTTATTGGTGGCTCTTCCTTCTTTTTTCCTTTACTTTCTCTCTCTCTCTCTCTCTCTCTCTCTCTCTCTCTCTCTCTCTCTCTCTCCCCCCCCCCCCCCCCCCCCCCCCCCCCCCCCAAAAGAATGAGGGCCTATTTATAATTTTTTGATTGTGACTTGCCTTGTAAATATGGGGAGGATCAATGTCAATATGTGAGTGGTTTGAATGGATGATCGATATTGATTACTTTGATCGTGGGTCGTTTATTGATAATTTCAATGCCTTAATGATATCAAAATTCGACAATCTTGGCCTCATTGGATCATCTTGCCAAGTTGCTCGATTTGACTATAAGCATGTCACGTTTGGAATTTGTTTTGTAATCCAAATTATGCTTTGAACCCTCCATATATGCTTTGGATTCTTGATTTGGACTCATTTGGAATTGGATTTGACTGATTTTGGTGTAATTGGGTTTGTCTTTTCAAGAAGTTCAGCTCGACTAAAAGTTTGCTGAAATCGAAGTTTGGAATGCTCAAATTTAATTTTGAAAGCTTTCAACTCAATTTTACCTTAAGATTTGTGCCAGATTAAGATAAATTCTGGATCATATATAAAAAATTATATCAATATTAACTTATATAAAGTAAATTGTTCAATTTTTGCTATATTTGATGTGATTTAGATATTAAGAAATTATCAAAGTAAATATAAAAATTTAAATGCTACATATATAAATAAATAAGAATTTTGTGGTGAGTATGTAAATAAATAAGAATTTGAGTGGTTTATTTAGGGTAGTTTCAAAAAATAATAAATTGGAGTAGGTTCTACTTGACTCATATAGAATTGACCAAATATTTTAATTTTTCATTTTGAGTCTTGCTATATTTACTTTGACTTTACTCACATCCTATAGTGCGACTAAATTTATAATAATTATGAAAAATTAATGAATAAAATTTAAAAATTTTACAATAATTATTAAAGTACTATGGGCTTATAAACTTGATTAAGAATTATGATAAACTGTGCGCAATTACACAAATTACAATATCAATTCAATATTATAAGTTAATGCTTATGCATAACATATCTTCTCAAAAAATTAAATAACAATGCAGATAAAAATTTTAAAAATAAAAAACCCGCTTAAATAATAAAATTCATTGAATAATTATAAATTTTTTTTATTTGAAAGCATAAGCTTATATGCATGTTGCAATTAATGTTGGAAATATTATAAAATGAAATAATCTTCTTCTAATACGTGATCTTATATCAAACCTATCGAGAATAATTTATCATAAGCTTGTCACATGAAAATTTAAAGGAGTTTTCCGCCTTTTATTTGTGAAACAAAGTTTCCAAAGTAAATCAGGTAGTTTTCTATATAGCAGAGGAAATGGAGATGTAACTTAAACTGCAAGAAGGTTGTGATCGGGGTGACCGACAGCCAGCATTAGTTGACAGCAGGGGCGGCGAAGGGTTGCGGTCGTTGGTGGTGGCCAACAGAGGGCAATGGTCAGCAGCGGTGGTGGTCGACGGGGGGTGGCAGCGGAGGCATCTAGCTACAGTGGAGGTAACGAGCTGGGGGTGGCCTGCTGTGACGGGCGAATGTGGCGGCCAGCTAGGACGATGAACGGATGTGCGTTTCCAATGTATTTGAAAATCGCTCAAATCTAAAAAATTTCAAATACACTCAAAATGCACTACATGGATATTTGAAATGCACTCCTTTTACACTCTACATTTACTTCAAATCAAACACCACAATTTCTAAAACTTCTGCATTTATATTACTTTACACCCTAACTGCATGCACTAAACAGCCCCTAAATATTTTATAATTTGTAGGGCATTAAATCACAACTCTTTAAGTAGTTTGGCTTACCAAAAAAATATGATGCGAGTGGCCTCAATTATGTGGTAATATTTGCGTTTAGCCCCCTTGTTTTGTAACGGGGTGTAGTGACACCAAAATTGATGAAGAATGCCATGGTGTTCTTTGTGAGTGATGTAATTATATTTACCACCTCCACCAGTTTATAATGTTTGTATGGTATGAAGTTTCAACTATGTTTCAAAACTTGATAAATTGTCTGATCAGCAGAGTCCTGCATTGGGTACTCATACCCTGGGTGGGTATGGGTACGCCCATGACCTTGTGGGTGGGTATGGATGGGTACTCAACATCGAGGGATAAATCAATTTATATTGTTAATCACCGTATATCTTATATTACTTCAATCCTCATTATGTAATGTGCAACACTTAACCAAGCTATCTGCGACTACGGTAAATTCTAATATGCGGCTTGAAAGTTTGCAATTATAACAAAAGGCAACAAGCCTTAATACCATCAGTTAGTGGTAGATTGCGTTCAACAAACATGGAAAGTGGGTGGGTATAGGTGGGTACAACATCCCGAAAATTACCATGGGTGGATGTGGGTGGGCTAAGCCTGCCTAAGTAAAGCATGGGTACCTAATGGGTATCCAACCAGGACCCCATATAGGACTTTGCTGATCAGTTCAAATTTAGCAAATATTGAAAATATTGAGCAAAAATGAGGATGGTCATCAATAAAAAAATATCTAATACTTGTAAACTTCTATAAAATAACCCTGGGAAAGGGCCCCATATGTTAAAATATATCAATTATAAAGGTTTATATTTATTGGAATGAGTAGTAGAGAAGGGTAGGCCGTGACTTTTTGTTAAAGTTGCAAAAGTTGCATGTGCTAATAAGGGGAATGTGAAGATTATTTTGCTATTTGGCAATAGCTGAGTGGGTGAAGTTGTTGGAATGGCCTAGCTGTCAATGCCATAGGTAGTTGTAAAGAGCTTGTTCTATAGATCTTTTTGTTGTTCCTCTTAGATTTATTTAGAACTTTTATTATTTTCTAGAGTAGTTTTTAGTACTATATTTTTTTGAATTATTAATTTTTATACTATAAAAGTAATATAAAAATTATCTCAAACTACAGCTTCGTTTGTAATAACATTCATATTGTTTCTTAAATCAACTTTTTAGTTCAAAAATTAAAATGTTTGTACTAAAAAATTGCTTTAGAAGCAATAAGAAAATTGTTCCGAATGAAACCACGACTTTTTTAATGTTTCTTAAAATAGAGTTTAGTGAGACGGATTTTTTAATGCTTCTTAAAACAACTTTTTAGTAAAAAATTAAAATTATTATACTAAAAAGCTACTTTAAAAATCAATAAAAAAAATCGTCCCAAATGAAGCCTAAATCTCATTTTTAATGTAAAGAAGGGAGGTTCAGTGCCTCTAGAGGCAATTGCTTCAAAAAAAAAACCACCATATCTTTTCTCACAATCAAGAACGAGAAGCAATTTATCAATAGCGTATTTGTATCTATATAAACCCAAAGATAAGTCAAAATAATAAGTGGAGGTAAAAAATGGGCTCTCACAAATAGCCTCACAAGCTACCTAATTCTAACATATAAACCACTCAAATATAGTTAAAAGAGTCAAATAGCATATAGATGTGATATGCTTAATCATCTTAAATTTATCTCCAAATTTCAAATGTGATTGTTAAAATAGTACATAAACTTTGGAAAATAACAAGATCCAACTAATAAAAAAAGAGAAAAAAATAAGCTAATAAAGTTCATAAAATTAATAACTATAGTACTCTTTAAGAAAAACAAATTTAGGTGATTTAACTAATGGAGTTCATATCTATGAATTAAACGAAAATTCATATATACATATACATAATTAACAACCATATAGCATTCAGGAGAGATGAATGAAAAAGAAATCCACATAATTCCATAAATAAGATTTATCGTCAGGTTTCTAAGAATGCCAAATTATCAAAACACAAAACAAGCAGACATAACAAAGGAAAGATAACGAATCAAAACCATCAGATAAGCATTCAAACTACAAATCAAAAATAAAACAAAGAAAGTACCTCCTAATGTAAATATTGCTCATCCATCAAAATCGTTTAGGCAGAAAGAGACGGCTTTGACGCAGCAGAGAGCTTCGATCTGCGCTTTGCTAAGCTCTCGCTCCTGCGCTCTCTCTGCTCCTTGAGTCTACTAGCAAGAAGCTTCTGGTACTCTGCGGCTTCAGCCTTGGCCTTAACGATTCTCTTCTTCTTCTCAGCAATTCTAGCACGCTTCCTTTGCAGCGTGAGGGGAGTCACAAGTCTTTGGATCTTGGGTGCTTTGCTGCACTTCTTACCTGCAAAGATTAGCACAAAATACAAAAAAAAAATGTCAGGTATGTTTTGTAGGGAGTATGGGTTTGATAAACCAATAATCAATTTCATATTAAACCATAAAGTCTAAAACTATAGAAGAAAGTCAAATCATTTTGTATTTGTGCATTTTCATTATCTAAGATGAGATTAAACGTAATGCTTTCATGTGCATTTGTTGTCGTTCTTCCTGAACCGACCAAACTAGCCCAACCAGGGCCGGTTCACATTTATAGGAGGCGGCGGTCCTTAGAAAGCCGCCCAAGCATGTGGGGCCCCCCTAGGGCAGCAAATAGAGAGAGGGAATGGGGCGGCTAAAGCATAGGGAAGCTATTTTGAATTTGGATTATTCTAGGAAGCTTTTTATTGGCTTTTATTAGGAAGATGCGTATTTAAAGAGGATGAGAGAATAGGATTAGGACATGCTTGATTATTGTGTTCTCTTGGAGTTCTCTTTGGTGTCTTGGGCTCTAGACTCATCATCTAGAGATTTGGAGAGAACGATCCTCCTCTCGAATTGAGGATTAATTGTATCTTGGCTTTGTGCTTGCTTTGTTTAGATTCCTATAATACAATCTACTATTTGTGGATTGTTTTCATTCGAGATCTTGAAGTTTTCTTGTTGTTTTCACCAATTATTGTTAGGGCTGCTCGCGAACTCAAGTATTTCTCATTAGAGTTACTTGAGAACTTACGGGGCAGAAAGATACAGATCAAAACAAATTATTCTCTTGGTCCAGAATTAAAAAAAAAAATTGAAATCAGCATCATGAATTAGAATGTTAGACAGTGTATATATTTTGGGTTTCATCTATTAATCTACCGGAAATCTACTATCAATTATTTTCATTTTTCATTGGAATTAAATTCATTCTGAATCGTGAATATTATATTTGATTCAATGTTACCTTAAATAATATAATATTAATTAGAATGATCTAACAATGTCATTAACTTGTTTTAGTATCATTTATTTTAACCATCAGATAAACTAACAGCTAAATGTGAATAAATTTAGCCAATATCTACATGTCAATACAATAAAATTTAACTGACGTCTACAAAATTACTACTTCGAAATAGGGTTAATTGCACTAATCTACTTATAAACATATATATTTTATCTACAAACAATTAATTTGGCCCACCTGACTTCGTGGTGAAGGTCCTTCTGTAAGTATTGACATACTTGCGGACATCATCTTCCTTGGACAGATTGAAGAGCTTGCGAATCTTAGAGGCCCTCTTTGGTCCTCTCATTCTAGGTTTCTCGATGTCAGTCAGCCCGGGAAGATCATTTTCACCTTTCTTCACAATAACCAGGTTAAGAACAGAAAGGTCGGGACTCACAATACAACCGCGAACAGATTTCCTCCTACGCTCTCCATTGCGCCTGCCATATCCACGGAAACAAGGGGTTCCTGACAAAAATACCAATTTTGAAAACACAGGCATCATAGCAGCAAGAAAGAAGAGTATTGAAAGCCAACTCTTCTTATCTAAAGAAAGTATCACATCGCTAAATGCAGGAAATATAAATGCTAGTTATAGAATAGAGTCCTATATTGGGTACCCATACTCACACCCACCCACGTACCCACTCATACCCAATGGGTATATTGGGTATGGGTGTGTATGGATACGCCCATGACCTTGTGGGTGGGTACTCCATATTGGGGGATAAATCGAATTACATTGCTAATCACCGTATATCTTATATTACTGCAATCCTCGCTACATAGTGTGCAACACTTAACCACGTTGCGACTACGATAAATTTTGATATGCGTCTTGAAAGTTTGCAATTAGAGCAAAGGGTAACAAACCTCAAGGCCATCAATCAATGGAAGGATGCGTTCAAAAAATATGAAAAGTTTGTGGGTATAGGTGGGTATGGATGGTGGGTATATGTGGGTATGGCATCCCGTAAGTCACCATGGGTGGGTATAGGTGGGTATGGATGGTGGGTATAGGTGGGTATGGCATCCCGTAAGTCACCATGGGTGGGTGTGGCTGGGCGAAGCCCGTCCGAGTAAAGCATGAGTACCCAACGAGTAAAGTATGGGTACCCAACTAGGACCCCATGTAGGGCTTTGTTATAGAACGAAAAACAACCACACCTCTACTAAGTAGCAGACGAACACGTCCAGGAGTTAGAACTCCCTGCTTCATGGGAAAGCCCTGCTTGTCGCATCCTCCCATGATCTTAAAAACATAACCCTTGAATTCCTGTAGAGCAGGGAAATTAGGAATAACATTCCCATCAGTCCTTACTGAAAATTGATAGCAATGAGAACTTGGCTTCTATTTAATTCCAAGTGTCATACCTCTCCAAGGGCATCTCCACTGACTTCTTGTGAGATTCTCTTATCATAAAAAGCTCGACTGTATGATTAAAAAACAAAGCACCATATCAGAAGCTTCTTAGCAATAAGCAAACAAAAACTTCCCGAGATAAACCAAATAAGAGAAAGATCCAAATATAAATGCAGTGCTCTCTCAAACTTACAGTAAAAAAGTTACAAGCGAATATCCGTAAGAAAAGAACATCGATTAGAATACTAGCTAAAACTAACGATAGATAGGGTTTTTAAAACTAACGAACATCTATTATAACATCTAAAAATATACAATTTCAATTTTTTCTGTGAAAATTAAATCAACTTGAGGGCTTTTAAGGCATTTGTAGATAAAAACAATTTTGGCTTAAAATGATATTTAACCAAAACCAAAAACAGAATTAAGTAAATTCATCAATTTCCAAAATATGATATTTCTAACTTCAAGCAAACAAATGGACCTTTACATAATATATAACTCATATAAACAGAAAAAAAAATGACCAAGTTACCTCTGGGGAAATCAAGTAGGCATCTTTAAATTTAAAAAACAACAAATTGAACCCCCTAAAGAAAAACTCAAGTTTTATTAAAGACAATGATGGCATCACATGTATGAGATAAGCTGAGGGATGCATAATCGCAAAATACTGAAGAACGTGCTATTAAGTTGATTATGTAATGAAAAACATTAGTAGTGCAGGAATTGAGTTATTGCAACAAAGAGAAATAGGCTAATCAAATAAAAATCAACATCGTCATTCATCCTCCTCGTCCACTTCCTCCTCCTCCTCCTACTTAATACTCAAGATTGGCTTTATAAATCATTAAATAGTAGTGCATGCATATCCCTTAAGCATCTCCAAAAATAATACAAATCAATCTAGATTTAGAATTATAGGAACTCTTTATTCATTGCACTACTACTAATGCAAATCAATGTTCTATTTCACGTCTTTAACAACTTCAATATACCTCTGACAAGAGTTTTTTAGTAAGCACAAATCAATTCTCAAGAAACTTAATCATGCACCTTCTCATAATTTTAAATGAAATAAGGGAGAAGAGAAGAAGAGGAGTGGAGAGGTTGGAGAGGTCGGCCAAGGCTAGGAGAAGAGGCCTCTTTAATTTCAACTTTTGGTTTATGTGGGTGGAGGGGCAATAAATTAAAATCTAAATTTTACAAGGGAAAGGAGGGAATAATTATGAAATTTGAATCTCCTTTAATGGGTGAATAAGTGAGGCGGCCCACCTTGAAGAAAGGGTGTTGATTGATAGCCTTAATAGGGAGAATTAATTAAAAGAGAGGGAATAGAGGGGCCCGCCAAAGGAGGGAAGGAAAGGGTGTCCACATTCGATGTATGTGGATCCTTACATTAATTGTTGATTGGGGAATTAAATCTGAATTAGTTTCATATTTGTGGTAATTGGGAAACTTCCTAAAATATGAAATATTAATTAGGAAAGAATTCAAAATTCAAATTTCTATGAATTCGAAGTAGAATACTTTCCAAATCAATAGTGGGCTAATTTAGGAAAGTGATGATTGTAGAGGAATAAGGGGGGTCGGCGGCTAGGGCTTGAGAAAGAGGGCTTAGGGCCGGCGACTAGGGGTGGAGGAGGAGGGAAAGGAGTTTTGGCCGGTGGCTTTTGGGTGAAGTTTGGCTGGCGGTAATGGGGATTAGGCCGACGAGTTGGGTGGAGGGGAGTAGTGGCTGGTGGTGATGGGAAGAGGGGAAGAAGGCTTGGCCGGCGATTTTGGGTGGGGTTTGCCAACGGTAGGTGAGAAGAAAGGGAAATGGGAAACCGAGAGCTCAGACTCTTCTGGCAGGTGTCGGGTATTGCTTTGGCCCTCTCCTAAAGTTCTCTTCTCTCAAGAGCTCACAAATAAACGAAGAACAAGAGCTAAAATTTCATTCATCAATCATCTTCCAATACAATAGGGAATGCCCTCATATATAGGCCTCAATACAACAAAAGACAAAAACTAAAATGCCCTCTAGACTACACCACAAGCTAATCCCTCTCAGGGGTACAACGTACAATAGTAAAAACTAAAACAAAAATAAACGAAATGCATAAGATGCATAAAAAATAAAGACTCCTAATCGTAGCCGTCGATCTACGATGTCTCCTCTGATAGACACGCCAGAATCTCCTGCTGATGTCCTCATAAATATGAGATTCTAATAAACCCCTATATATTAAATTCTTAGAGAAAGAAATCATGAAAAAAGCTTAAAACAAACAAACAACAATAACATCAAGCCTTTTATCCAACTACGTGGGCTCGATTACATGAATCTTTTTTCTCCATTCCATCCTCTTAAAGAGTTAAATTTTCCTTTAAATCTAATAAAGAAGTGTCATTTCTAATATTTTCTAACCAAATTTTTTTAAATCTACCTCTACCTTTCTTAACATAGGTACTCAAATCTAATATATATATATATATAAGATGGTCATCGAAATGTTGTTGTTTTATGTGACCAACCCATCTAAGGATGACTCTCTCTAATCTTATCTTCCACTAGAGCTACTCCAACCTTAAAACAAACAAATCATAAATATAAAACGCAAATATGAATGGATAATCTCCTTAAAGAAATTAATTCTAGTAGATTAAATGAATAGATAATCTCCTTAAAGAACCGAATTCTGATAGCTTAAATAGTTGTAATGAATTATGCACATTTCAAATTAACTAATTAGACAATTTTAAATTTATGTCGAGACATTTTTATTAATAATTTCTTATTATTGTTACCACAATCTCTCTCCATTTGATTTTTTTTACGGATCAATATATCAATAAACTAAGAACCAGATACAATAAATATAATCTAATCATTCATCATAGAAATAATATCAACAAATAATTCTTTAACACTTTCATTTTCAAATTGCTCAATTTATTTATCAACTGCAATAGATATTATTGATTTAATTTAACATTCAAACATATGTTCATCTATATTAGAAGTTCCATTTCAAACATGATATCATGCCTAATTTTGCTTTTAGGCTCTAATTCTAACACTTAACAAACATGGGCTCAAATTCTTAAGCATGACCTATTGTACATGCAAATTTAGATTCAAAAACACTAGATATAGATTTAGATTGTAATTGCATATCGTAAATATTTTCAAAAGAATATTCAAAAACTAAAATCTCATCAATAAGATCACATACATAATTATTGTGTAGGTGTGTGTAGGTTTAGAGAAGATGGCATAGATTTTAACTTTAGGAACATGAACCACATATATGATTATACTAATAGAACTCTTAAATTCAGAGAATTCGAGTGGGAAAAGACTTCATTTTATTATATGAATCTATCCCTATTTATAGATCTATACAAGGTGTCTAAATAAAGAAATAAATAAAAATATTTTTTTAAATAAGATATTATTTCATATAAGAAACAAATAACAATATAATCATGCATAATTACCTTAATATAGAAGGAGATTGGCATGATCCAGGTGAGCCTCCCACGGATCGTCATGCTAGCCGTGAGATGAAGGACTAAGGGATGGCTCAGATTCAACAATGTAATCCAAGTGAGCCTCCCATGGATACCCATGCTAGCCTTATGATCAAGGGCCAAGGGACGGCTGAGATTTAACACTCCCCTCAAGCTGGGAAATACAGATCTGTCATTCCCAGCTTGGTAAATGGTAATCATTCCCATAAAGGTAAAGTTATCAAGTCCTTTGGTAAGAATGTTTGGTTTCATCCTTTTCCTGCACCCCATGCATCTTAGTTTCACCTTCAATAAACTCTCACTGTTCTTTCTTTAGAAGCAACATCTCTACATCACAATCATACAAAATTTTATTCATTCTTGTACTTTGATCTAAAGAATCAACAATGACATCATAAAACCTCATATCATTTGGCCACAATACTTTTATCTTTGAAATACAATTGCGTCATCCAAGCCTTCCCTATGCTTCCATGGCCCAAAAGTATCTTGTACGACCTCAGCACGCTTCCATGTTGATTTTGTTTCGATGATATCTTTAACATGGTTATGATCTTTAACCAAATCTTTCATTGTAAACTTTTGAGAAGAGGGGAATATCAATTTTTTGTCTGCCTTAGCATGCTTAAGTCTTTTTTGCTTCTTAGTGCCAGCAATTTGCTTATTTTTTGAGAAGCTTACTCTGACTTTTCTTTGAGATCCATTTATACATGCTTCATTTGAAAGCTTTTTGTCAAAATTACTCCAAGCTTTTTTCTTACTATAAACTCCATAATGATCATTACTAATTGACAATTGCAATGAAACATTTCTTCCTCCTTTGCGAGAACTTAGATATGACCTTCTATCAAGCTTTGATATACCTGAATCCAAGCTATGCTCAGTATCAACTCTAGATTTACCATTATGATGCTGAAATTCAATCCTTCTATTTGCAGTGCTATGGAATCACCATTCCCATTCTAAAAAGATCCATTATTCGTCACTAGTTTGATGGATCCGTCTACAACAACATATTTTTCAAGATGAGAAATTTCAACTTCCTGGTGTGCATATCCGTGAGGCGAGTTGTCTGAAATGAAAAGCTAAAATAATTTATGTTCAGCTTCCTGATTTTCACCAGAAGCATTCATTTCATTCTGTATCGAAGTGTCAGGTTTCCCCTGAAATACAACAGTAACAATTTTGTTGTAATCACTTAACAGAGCACCATTGCCATAAAATAATCCAACCAAATAAAGCTTTAGCTTCAAGGAACAGTTAACAAGCACTTTCTCAACAAGCTGTCTAACAGTATCCCAAAATACAAGCACTTCTCAATGTCTAACTTTTGTGGAATCTTCTCAATAACGCGATAAAAACAGTTATATACTGTCTAACAGTAACGGCTAGAAGAAAATATTTTACACTAACAATTTTGTATCCTATGGTGTTTCAGATTCGCGTGTTAATATTAAATTTCAATTCCTTCACCCTATCCTATTCCTTTGAAAAAAAGAACCAGAGCTGCTCCCAAAGAAAATGATGGGGAAAATATTTCTATTTACCCTGCTCTTATAAACTGATAAGGAATAGCAAGTTTCGCACAAATAAAATAAGAAATAACCATTAAACAAGGATACAATAGTTGTGACTCAAAACTTGGCCAACTATAAATAATACAAGCATAGAAAAGATTTTTTTAACCATAACTTAAAAGCCTTAATTTCTATGAATTTCATTTACCTAACTTACAAGCCTTTATTTTTATGAATTCCAAATTCTACTAATTTGATTGAATATAAATGCATCATTGCACCCGACCCCATTCGCATGTGACTCAACTCCATCCCAACAAGTGACCCTTTTGAGTCCATAAAATTAGTTCTTTGCAAGCCCCGCTAGGATTGAGAACAGAAAAGAGTAGTTGGTTATATTTGCACAAATTAATAGGTTACCATCTTGATTTGTTACAGAAATTTATAAGTTTCTCAAGCTAACTTGCGGAAGAAATTCTTCTATTCCAAGCAGTATATTTCCTCAAGGTCAGCCTTTAAAGGATCAGCACTTGTTCCAAAATTTTATTAATTAGTTGCAGCATTTTTAAATGAAATTTACAGAGTAAGCCTGTTATATTAATCGAACTTTGAAGGAAGGAGATTTTATCAGCTAATTTATTGGAGTATCATTCTTCAAATTATACAGCAAAGAAAACAGAAAAAAAATGATTTTCATGCATATTCGTTAACACTAACCAAACTATTCCAAGTTAATAGAATACTAGTTTACCCTGCATTCTTTAAAGGCATGTATTTCAAATGCATACAACCAAAAAAGCCCAAAGAAAAAACTTCATATCGTGAAAAATTTTAATATTTCTGATTTGTGAAATGAAAGAGATTTTTTTTTAAATCAAGTATTGCCTACCCTCAAAAAACCTCAATATAAACTGTTCCTGAAAATTCAAGCTTCACTCCTCAAGACTATTTTAATTTGCACGCCCCCAACACAAATATCATTCCACTTCAAGATGATCTGCAAAATTATCATAGTCCAGGTGGAAAAGAAAAGGTTCCCAAATCTATACAGGAGGCCAATTTCACATTTATTGTTCAACGCTCAAGTCCTTAATTCTTTAGAAATGTTCTAACAAAATAGCCGCTGGGGAACTCACAATTAAAGACATGGGAGCAAGCTAAAATGGCAAACACAAAAAAAAAATTAAGAGACAATGCAGAAATATGCACTGCCTAAGAGGAAAATATCAGCTTGGCATTCGAAGCAAGAGATATATGCTGGCCAAACGGAAGAAACTTAAAACAAAGTGATACAACAAAGAGATTATCACTGTCAACCAGACATTTCAAGAGCTCATATGCGTGAGGCCTTCAAACTTGTCAAGATCTCTGTAAAGACTAAAGGTAAATAACAACAAGATTACATAAAGTGTCACCAGGGAAGAATTTTCCCAATTATTGTCCATAAAAGCATAATTATTCACAGGCAAAGAAATCACAACACAAAATCAACAATATGATAGATTTTAACAATTATTTGGACTACCAATATGCAGAACCATGCAAAAAAATAGTGTTAAAATGAACAAGTAATAAAGCTTTATAATATATGTTTTATAAACATCTATAACTAAGCTCATAAATCTATTATGCATGCATATTATGAACAATGAATACCAAACAATCACTCTCCAAACACTGAATGTACTTGCACTTAAAAGTTAAATCAAAATACATTAAGGTACTACAGGCGAAAATTCCCAAAAAAAAACTATTAAAGAGTTCCCTAAAATTGAAAAAGCTAAAATCAAATGAACAAATTTTTACCATTATTTAGGCTTATATAATACGTGATCAGAAAAAAATTAGTATTGGAATACAAAGGTAATGACATTTTAAGGAAAAAAAATATCAATTATGCTTATTGATCATACAATTCATAAGGAAACATATATTGTTGATATTACACAAGATCAGAACTCCCTTATGTGTATTATGAAAAATTTTGTCAAACAATCACCCACTAAACAACAGAATGAAGCTGCACTTCAAAGTTAGATCAATATCCATCAAGATACCAGTTAAGTGAAAATGCCAAAAATCCGCTTGTTAGTTTCCCCACATATACAAAAAATATGAAATTAGATATCCTCTATAAAAGAGTGAGCTAGAATATGTCAAGGACAATATGACAGTAAGAATATTGGCATTTATCAGACATGTACCGTACTTCAAACAGTAAAGGAAGTATAATAGAAACAGAAATCATAGGATAAATATATGTAGAATCCAGGGATTTAAACAAAGGTACTCTTTCATTCCAATTTGCACCTCAGGATTCTAGTCTGCATTGGTTCCTTGATCAACAAGCCACCCATACCCAGGTTAACAACAAATTGGATATTCTTGTTTCTCTCAGAATAATTGGCCCTTTTTGGTCAGGTCTTAAGATAAGCTAAATGAAAACTTTAAGCTGAGTTAATTTGTTTGACAAAATTTAAGCTACTCTGGGTTGGGATGAGCTAAGAAAATTGTTTAATTGGGTTCTTTGAATTATTAAATGAAAAAGATAATTAGGGAGATTTAAGTTGAGATAAGCTAGGATGAAGGTCGGCTTAGCTTAATCGCGCCTATGTCCAGTGCAAGATAAGCAGCGCTTATCATGCACTATTAACCAAGGATGTCAATTTAGCCGTTTGGCACCTACGCGATCCTTGTAAAAATCGAAATGAAATGCCCTATCGAGCCCTCCTCAAACGAATTGCAGAAATTGCGTTTCTCAGAAGGAAAAAAAAATCCTCAGAAAAGGAAGTGGGAGTTCTAGCTTCAAAAAACAATTCAAGGAAAACGAAAGCAAAAAAAATACGGAAACAGACAAATTAATCAGACGAAGCATCAACAAAAACACAAAACCCACGACCTACAGAGCATAAACCTATTTATAAGTCAAAAAACTTACAGTTTCTGATCGTCATCAATCTCGAGCTTCTTCTGGCAGCCGGTGGTGGGATTCGCAATGTTGAACTGCAACACATAAAACAACAAGGGTTCACAATCTCCACACAGCTCCAAAAATGTCAATGGACAAAATAAAAATACTGAATTCTTTCTGCTTCTTTGTAAATCTCGAATGGGAAACAAAGTACCTTCATATTGGTTCAATAATTCGAAGAATCGGCGCAGCGAGAGTGTGGAACGAGAGGGAACGAAGCAGCCGCCGGTTAGGGTTAGAAGAAAAGTGGAAAACCTATTCTATTTAAAAAGCTTTGCGAGTTATAAATATAAGAGATGGGAGCCGTAGGATTAGAGATTGTGTGAGCTGAGTGATCTCTCTTTGGCAATTGATGGACAAATTTTTAAGTGTGAACGTAATTATTTAAAAAAAAAAAATCTTTATTTTTTATCTCAAGAAAGTCATCCCCCCGTCTCGGCCTTCTGAGATAAATTTATTAGTCTTTTAAATATCAGATGCCTCTTTTTAATAAATTCAAATGTTGAGATTGTAGCCTTCTTACTATTTTTTATTAAGGTAATTTTTTAATATAAAAACTTTTAATTCAATATTTTATATTAAAAAATTATCTTAAAAAATAGTAAAAAATTTATCACAAATAAAGCCTAAGAATAGTGGGCCTGATTACTACCCAAATTTCAAATAATTTGTTTAGCGTTTATCTATTTGTAGTAGTACACATAGGTTTCATTTGGGAAAACTTTTTTGCTACCTTCTAAACCGGCTTTCTAATACAAAATTTCTAATTCATAAATTTTTTGTACTAAAAAGTTATTTTAGAAATCAGCAAAAAAATTGTCTCGAACGAGGCCATAGACTTTGGGAGATGATTTAGATGTAGAACGTTTCTGAAGGTGTTGGAGTTACCACGAAGAGTTTATTAGGGGTCCTCGCAATTTTTCTTTTTATACCATAGAAAACTATGCTAACAAAGGTGGTGGACTTATCAATGTTGGTGTCAAATGCAATAGTCTAATCTTTTTGTGTAAAAATAATAATATTAGTGTCGACAATGGAAATCAACATTGATGGAAACAATAGACATCAATGATGTTGGTCATGGCATGCATCAACATTATTGTGATTGTCGTGCATCAACTTTAATGATGACGACAAATGTCAACTTTGATGGAGAAGGTAATCATTACCTTATTTGAAATTGCAAGCACTAGTGTTGTTGGAGATCAGTAGCATACAAAAAAAAAAATCTGAGAGGACCTAAATTTATTTTGACTAACTTTCTATCAAGTTTTTTATCCGGGTATGAAAAAGTTAATTTTTGCATGTTCCTTTGATTAGAAATAGTGCTTGTTGCTATAGAAGATTTCTCAAATACTCGAATGAGAATCACACACCTTTTTTCAGAAAAATAAATGAAATCTTCTGAAGCTTTGATTCAATCCAAAAATTCGATGCTCACTTCAGTCGAAGTCAGGCTCTTACACACAATGTTAGAAATTTTTAGAGAAATAAGATAAACAAAACAGAAGAAATTATAGTGGAACAAAGGAATCAAAAGTCATTTTTTTTTTTTTACTTCTTCATAAACAAAACTGAATAGTTTTAGACAAAACTGAATAGTTTTAGACAAAACTAAAAAAATGGGCTTGACGGCGTGACTTATCATTAACAGACCTAGAAAAGTCAACCATCATTTTTTCACTTGATATGTCATCGAAAAATTATCTTGATCAAGCTTGAATCTCGAGAAAAAATTCAAGTTGGAAACTTCAAAAATTAATTCTGGGATCATCTGAACTTCGATTTCAACAAACTTACTATCGAACTGATCCTCGCGGAAATACGAATCCAAAGATACCAAATTCGACTCAATCCGAGCCCAAATGGGTCCAAATCAAGGACCCAGAGCGCTGTTGGAAGGTTCGAACCACAATTTGAGTTACCAAACGGTTTCCAAACTTAACATACTTATAGTCGAATTGAGCGGCTCGACGAGATGAATCCAACGAGCCCAAGATCGCGAAATTCCGACATCACTAAGGCCTTCAAATATCTGACGAACGGTTTATGATCAAGGGATTCAATATCAGTCGTCCATTTGAACCACTCCCGATTCGCCCCTGGTCTCTCACCTATTTACGGACCATGTCACTCCAAAAATAGACCCCTCATTTCTCATGAGAGGGGCCCCCAAGCCAAGGCCCAAGCAAGAAGAAGAGAAGAAGAAGAAGAAGAAGAGAAGGATAGGAGAGAAGAAATCCTCCTCGACCACCGCCGTCGAAATTCTCTACCCGACGCCGGAATTCTGCCCGACGCCAGAGTTCTGCCCGACGTTCAAGCAACGACGGAGTTCTGCCCTACGTTCTAGCGACATTGTAGTTTCACCCGAACTCCAAGCGACGACAGAATTTCGCCTGACCTCCAAGTGACGCCGGAATTCAGCCAGACCTCCATATGACGCCAGAATTCCGCCAGACCACCAAGTGACGCCAAATTCTGCCCGACCTCCATCGCCAGACGACTACGATCTTCCTGACTTAGGTCGTCCACCGACTACAGTCCTTCCGACCTTCGTCGCTCACAGACTACGGTCTTTCTAACTGACGTCGCTAACCGACAACAATCCTTCAAACTTACATCGCCCGCCGACTACAGTTCTTCCAATCTCCATCGCCCGCAAACTACGGTCCCCTTGACTTACGTCGCCCGTCGACTACAGTTCTTCCTACCTCCATCGCACGCCAACTACGGTCCCCTTGACTTACGTTGCTCGCCGACTACAGTACTTCCGACCTTCGTCACCCGTAGACTATGGTCCTTCAAACTTACGTCGCCCGTCGACTACAGTCCTTCCGACTTCCATTGCCTGCCGACTACAGTCCTTCTGACTTACATCGCACACCGACTACAGTCCTTCAGAACAAGCAAACACATCAACATTGATGCTTTGTATTCTCACCATGTAATGTACTCTATAAGATGTACATCAAGCTAAGACCTTCCCTTGGGAAGGACCTCATTTGTAATCAACTACAATACTAGTGGATTCATTCGAAATGGGCTAAGCCCCGTGGTTTTCCCCCCTTTTCAAGGGTTTACACGTAAAAATATTGGTGTCTCATAAATACTAGATCATCTCTCTTATCTGATTGCGTGTCAGATTTTCGTATAACGCTAAGACACTAAACTTTATATTTTTCTACCACCGCAATACTCCTGAACGCAACATCACTAATACAACCGATGATATGAATCCATATGATGAATTCATCCTCCTGTAAACCGTCATGAAACTCTGGGATGCCAATCTCTAAACCAGCCTCCCATCTCCAGTTTTCATCGTGGGGAGGAATGGTTGCCATGGCAGCTCCGTTGGTAGTGGTTAGTGGCTAAACATGTTGAAAATGCTTCTGCAAATTTTGCAATTGCTGGATCAGATCAGCTTGAACTTGCTGACGCAATTGCACAAACTCATCACGACGGTAGTGGTGGTGGGGGCCAATGGCGGGTAATTACAATGCCTACGAAAGCAAGTAACCGGCAATTGCAGTGGATGGGGGCTGTGGTGGTAGTCAACTATGGACAATGGTGAACCACGATAGCAGCAATTGGTGGACGGCGGCGACGGGCGGCCTACAGTAGGTGGTGACAAAATTGTTTGGTTGGGTGAGTTTACTTTTACTCAACAATGAACAAAAATACCTTACATTGAATTTTTTTTTATCAATCAAACACTAATAATTCAAAACTCCTACAAAATTATATTTTACACCTATTTTATTTAAAATCAAACCTCAAATAAATTTACTACCGTTAATCATATTGAAATGAAACGCTAATATAAAACTATAATGTAAAATAAAGTTATATTCATCTAAATCCATTCAACCAAGTGTATTCTATTTCTTAAGCTTGCTTAAGCCCGCATAAGGTTCTTCAGAGTTTTTTAAAAACGGCCTAATAAATCTTATTTATAAAATTCATTAAAAAAAAATTGGTGACTATTTGGTAAACATAAGGGTTTTTAGAATATTGATATTTGATTTGAAGCAAAATAAATGTAGGGTAAAATTTTAGTACATTTAAAAATTCACCCTCTAATTCACTTTTTGTGTATTTGAAATTTTTCATATTTATGCAAGTTTGAAATGCCCAAAAAATCATTGCAATTGCCACCGCTCGTCATCGCCTCGTGCCTACTATCGCCCACCGTCGACCACCACCATCGCCCGATGCCGCACCACACTGCCACCCTCCACTTACATCGTATGCCACTACCGGCCACTAATTGTGACGCCTCCAATATAACATTTGGATTGATATGTTCCGACCTGATTGGAAAAAAGTAAATATTTGAACTTTTGCGTTTTAACATATTTACATGTGTTTTGAAGCATTTTAATACTTAAAAAAGATGGTATGTACTCTAAAATAAGTCCTCATAGTCTAAAGTGAATTTTGCCCAAATCTAAAAAAAATCCTACTACTTAAGCGTCTCAATGTTGGGTGTTCGAGCGCCGCGGCGCTGCATCACCACCCACCCCCGCCAACAATCGCTTCCACCATCACCAAACACCACCATCACCAGTAGCCACCAACCACCACCACTGGTCACCGACGACTAAGGGTGTAAACGAGTTGAATCAAGTAGTTGCATTATCGATAAGTTCATTTAGCTCATACTTAGCTAGATCCCGAGCTCGACTTAATTATTCAAGCTTTTTTAAAGAACTCGAAGTCGAGTTGATTGAAAAGCTCGAACTCTTGCTCATTTAGTATACGAGCTCGAGTTTTAAAGAACTCGAAGTCGAGTTGATTGAAAAGCTCGAACTCTTGCTCATTTAGTATACGAGCTCGATTACAAGCTCGAGCTTGAACTGGAAACTCAATAAACTCTACTCTCGAGGTTGTTAGCGAGACGAGTTCACGACAACCAAACTCACTTACACCCCTACCACCCGCCACCACCGCTATCAATATTGGCCACCTACCACCATGCTCTTTGCAATTTATGTTGCATTCATTTTACTTCAAGCCAAACAAAATAATAATTATCACATACATTCATTTTACACTTATTCAAACAACTCCAACCTATTCTATTTACACAACATTTCTTTTTCCAGCCAACAAAATAATCCCTTAATCAAAGCTTGCTCTATTCCAGCCTTTTCTTTTTTGAGAATAATGGATAATCAGCCTTATTCAAACAACTCTAACCTATTAATATGTGCCAACATACCCGTCCTTTTGCTAAAATAGTATCAAAACATCAAATTAAAATTTTAATCAGCATGGATTTCATTGCCATTTAATTCATTTTAAAATAAACACAATATATACGAGTGAAAAATATTGCACTACTTTTAAAACAAATTCAAATATTTTAAAATCATAAAAAAAAATTTATGAGAATATTTGATATGAAATATGTTTAAATGCAATTAATTAAAACCAGTTAAAATTCATTAAATAAATCAGTTTATAGAAGAAAAAAAATTAAAAATTGCCAATAGTATCTTGAAAGTGCAAAATCTAAATTTTGCCAACTTATTCCACATAATATTTAGCTAATGCAGCCGGCAAATTTACCAAAATAAATTGTGGCCAAAATATCTAACTAAATTTTTTGTCAAGATAAATATCATATCACAACTACTCAAATAATTAAAATTTTAATTAATTTTTAATAATTTATACTTATCTCAAAATAAATTCAACAAAGTTTAAAATTCATCAAATTTTCATTATCATATCAACATCCAAAATCTTTTCAAAATCCAAAGTTTCACAAAAAAATATGATAAAAGATGAAGAAAACTAGAGTCTACAGAGATTTATTAGGCAAAGGATTTCGATCAAAGCTTACATCTTTGAAGAAGACCCCAACTCTTCAGTTTCTGGAGGGTATGGCATTTCTGTAGAAGAATGGAGGAAACAACCTGCTATATCTGTTGGCTTCTTTTTCTACAGAAGAATTTCCCTTTACGATCCTCTGTGCGTTTTAATCTGTAGCATGCATTCTAACATGCAATTTTTTTTATGTATTTCGATGGCAAAGCATACCTTAAATGTATTTTGAATTATTTAGATCACACAAAGAATGGAAAATGAAGAGGTATGCACTATAAATTGATGCAGTTCAGAATTTTGAATAACTTAGGCTTCGTTAGGAACAACTTTTTTCTAGCTTTCTAAAACAGTTTTTTAGTACAAAAATTTTTTGAATTAGAAAATTTTATACTTAAAAACTGTTTCTTAAAGAAGCAGTACGAAAGTTGTCCCAAACGAAACCTTAACTTTCATCAAACATTTAGATCATAGATCAGTGTGTTGGTAGTTATTCAAGTCTCCCCACACAGCCTCTTCCACTTCTTCCCAGGATTTGGCCGTTCTCAGTTCCTTCCACAAACTGAAAATGGCTCCAAGGACGTTCTCCTTGTGTAGAATACAATAGCACCTGTACAAGCAGCAACATGAATAAACGCTGAGATAAACTGATAATTTTCTTAACAGGATGAAATAGTCATAGAGAGCTGCACAATCCAGGAAACAAAACTATCCTGAAGCAAGAAATATTCGGAGATAGTATCTCAGACCTAAGTGTTTAATTCAACAAACGAGGAGTGCATTTGAACATTATGGTTTCATTTGGGACGGTTTTTTTTGTTACTTTTTAAAGCAGCTGTTTAGTATAAAATTTTTAATTTTTGTATTAAAAAGTGCTTTAAGAAGCAATAAAAACTGTCCCAAATGAAGCCTATATCAGGTTGCATTGTAACTTACATGGCACGGTACGAAAGCCTTTTGAACTTGTCATTTTCTGCTAGTCCAGAAGAAAGCCCATCATCATTCAGCTTTTTTGGATTTAAAGGAAGATTGTAACTTTCCAAAAGTCTATCCAGAAAGCACATTTCTCCACGGAAAACATCCAAGTATATTGGAATCATATCATACAATGGATCCCCTAACAATATAGAACATGATCAGGATTCTGCATAATGTAACAGCATAACAAGGATAAAAAATATAGAGAAAAAAAAAATAGTGTGCATCTAAGCTTTATGTTCTATAGAATTTTAATTTATTCACATTAACAAAATCTGTCATCCATCATCATTAGGAGTAGCCTAATCCCAATTATTTAGGACCAGCTTTATAAAACCACATTTCCGTTCATTATTTTGTTCAGTAATAGAAGAGGTATTAAACATCCTATAATATCATATGATGAGGACTATCATACTCCAACAGTACAATATACCATTTTCTATTTTGCCAAGTACCATAATAGCAGCTTTATTTCTTGTTTTAGTTTTGATAGTACATTTTTTACTTTTAACCATTATAACCATGGTAGTAAGAGGAGGGGTGATACAAATAGCAGCAGTTCTTTTACAATACAGAAAATTATACTTTGGCTATTGCTCTTTTCTTTGTTGCCTGTTTTCCTATTTTCTATTTTATGCAGCTGCTACATCAAACTTGAATCAGAGCTCGGCTCAGGACATTCATGGGGGAAGGCTGCAAACAACAAGCACCATATGGTGATCGGAGCTTGGGCGCCCTGTGGGCAGCTCAATTAAACATTTCACAGCAACTAGAATGCCTTACTGCTAAGTTCTTTCGAATATCGACTAAGGTACAAAGAGATATCCAAGTCCTGAAAGGAATCGAACACATGAACTCGGGGACGCGAAAAGCGGTCACGGCAACCACACCTTTACCACGAATGGAAAACCGGCATCGAAAACCAACAAGTGCAACTTATGTTTCAAACTCTAGAAGATTACTAACCCCAACAACTCAGTTTATGTTTCAAACTGAAGAGAAGATCAACAACTAAAATTCTATAGAAGGCGACTACCAACACTACTATGACCCACCGCATCACTGTTTTGTCCAGCACAAACCGCAAGGTGAATTTCATGTTAAACTGGACATACCCTACTTCGATGGCCAATTACACATTGAGGGTTCGGGAGGGTTGAAAGGATTTGGGTCGGACCTGAGCCCGACCCATTGACCCATTTTGACACCCCTAATCTTACACATGATTAGTTACCATCATAATATCTCGACATAAATACAATTTACAAAAAATGCTTTGTCACCAAAGTATTGGGGTGACTCGAGTACTTTCTTAGAATTAAGTTTGCCTTTAGTAAAAAGGGAATGTCCCTCTCTCAAAGAAAATATGTTCCTTAGGTGCAAGCCTGCTGATGCACCTATGAATACTAAAAATATAACAAATTATGATTTATGTTTCAATAATCCATCACAATATTGTAGGTTAATTGGTAAATTAGTTTATTTAACTATTACTAGACTTGACATGTCATTCTTCATTGGCGTTGTTGGTGGAATATTATCTTCCTCAACGGACGAGAATATTTTGTGATCAAGCACGACATGAAAAATAATATATTACTCCAAAGGATAAAAATATTATTTCACTATGGACTTAATAACAAAAATTATATTTTTATATTTTAACTAGAGATTTTTATTGCTTGACATATTTGATCAACAGAGTTTATTTTATTATAGGATACTAGTTCTTCATAAGGGCTTGCCCTATGGCTATTTACATCATAAGCATTTATTTCTTAGAAACACTTTTGAATAAAATAATAATTTAATTTATATTATTTTATCAAAACATTGGCTAACAATTTTGCATGATTTGATTTTTAAAAATTATTAACAAAGATTTAATTTTTTGGTAATTTAAAAGGAGATTTGATGAGGATCAAACCTGCAAAAAAGAGAACAAAACAAGCAGCAAGAGATAGAACAATAACACTGTGTTCTGTATAATATTTCGTAAAAACTGTCTTCCTTCTCTACAGTTTGTGTAATATATGCTAGTCCCTCTTCCTATACTCCAAAGAGGACTGAAACTAAAAATGTGTAAAATGGTATTGCATAACTAATTAAAGAAACTATGATAGTGGGCACATGCTTAATAACGGTTAGAAGAAAATTAGCTAATAAGAAATAAGTTACTCCTCAGACTTGTGTTAAGTAACGATGCACCGCATCATTCGCCCCCACCGCGAGAAGAATCGATGCACACCTATTCGAGATTAAGTGAACTATCATCTGGGGGAATATAAGCAAAGATATCAACAACATTAAACGTGTGGGATGTAGTGAATTCTGGAGAAAGATCTACAACGTAAGCATTGTCGTTGATCCTTTTGCTGATAGGAAATGGGTCCCATTTCCTCCTATTGAGTTTGGAGTGATTGCCTGGCGGTAGTCGTTCCTTACGCAAACGAACGAATACCAAGTCTCCTAGATTAAAGATTTGCTCTCTTCTATGTACAACCGCAGCCGTTTTATAATGTTGAGATGATTCCTGAAGCTTGAGTCGTACATTAGATATCAAATTGGTAAACTGATCAGCTAGCATGGAAGCAGCTTTGCTTTGACTTTTGGGAAGAACTGCAATGTCAAGAACAGTGTTAGGCATTTTTGTATAAACAATGTTGAACGAACACATACCCGTGGAACGATTTGTTATGGAATTGAACGCAAATTTAGCTTGACCAAGTATATCATCCCATAATTTAGGATGCTCCTGGACAAGGCAACGAAGTAGATTACCAAGTGTTCAGTTAACTACCTCGGTTTGGCCATCCACTTGAGGGTGATAAGCCAAGCTTAATTGAACTTGTGTATTTAAACATTTCCAAAGCTCTCGCCAAAAATGGCATATGAACTTTACATCCCGATTTGAAGTGAGGTATATGGGAATACCGTGAAGACGTACAACTTCCTTAAAAAAGTTTTGCAATATTGAGAGCATCAAACGTCTTCTAGCACGCGATGAAATGCGTCATTTTTGAAAATCAATCCACCACAACCATAATAGAATCATTATCGCGCTTCGTTCGTGGAAGTCCCAATACGAAATCCAAGCTCAAATCTTTCCCAGATTGAGTCGAGAATAGGCAGTGGTTGATATAGACCAGTATTCTATCTTCCGCCCTTGTAACTTTGGCATATAAAGCATCTCTGTACATATTTGGTAACATCACTTCTCAAGTGAGGCCAAAAGAAACGTTTTTGCAACTGTGCAATGGTGTTATCCCGCCCAACATGTGCTGACAATCCTCCAGCATGAGCCTCTTGTATTATAAGCTGCCTCCAAGACGATTTAGTCACACACAACAACCCGTTTTTGAAGAGAAAACCTTGTCGTATGCAATACCCGGCTACAGGTTCTCTGTTCTTGCACTTAGACCAAATATCATGGAAGTATTCATCTTCAGGATACAAGTCTTAGAGATACTCCAGCCTAGAAAACTCTGTTTGCAGTTGGGTTAGAAGTATTGCCCGCCAGCTCAAAGCATCGATTTTGTGTCCCACTCTTGTGTTTTAATACAAAACTAAATTTTTGTAAGAATATGATCCAGCGAGCATGCATCCTGTTAATGTTCTTTTGTGTATTGATATATTGGAGGGCCTTATGATCGCTACAAAGAACGAAATCTTGATGTAACAAATAGTGTTCCCACTGCTTCAATGCTCGAATAACAACATACAACTCCAGCTCATAAACAGTCCATTTATGCCTGGATGGGCTCAACTTTTCGTTGAAAAAATCCACAGGTTTGTTGTCTTGGGAAAACACTGCACCAATTCCCACCATGGAGGCATCTGTGTCCACTGTGAACGGCTTATCAAAATCAGGTAATGCTAGGACGGGTGCTGTAGATAAGGTAGCTTTAATAGATTCAAAGCTTCTCTTGCTGCTCATCGGATCATGAAAACTGCTGCTGTTTTAAGACATCAGTAATTGGTGACATAACCACACTAAATCCTTTGATAAAACGCCGATAAAAATTCGCCAGCCCATGAAAACTGCGAACATCAAAGAAGCTACGGGGCGTCGGCCATTCCACTATGGCAGCAATTTTTCGTGGATCCACCTTTACTCCTTCCGCCGAGATTAAGAAACCAAGAAAGGATACCTGTGTGGTTGCAAATTCACACTTGATTATGTTTAAATAAAGCTTGTTTTGCTGCAAGGTCTCAAAGATTGCTATTAAGTGTTGTATATGGTCTTTCAATGTTGTACTGAAGACTAATATATCATTGAAATACACAACGCAACATTTATTAAGAAATGGCTTCAATACTTCATTCATCAATCTAATAAATGTTGTTGGTGCATTGCACAAGCCAAATGGCATGACTTTACACTCGTATAATCCTTGGCGAGTTTTAAATGCTGTCTTCCACTCGTCACCAGGTCGAATCCTGATTTGGTGATAGCCGCTCCGCAAGTCTAATTTGGAGAAGATTTGTGCTCCTGACAAATTCCCTAACATATCTTCCATCCTTCGCATTGGAAAACAAAACTTAACTGTAATCTTGTTTATGGAGCGACTGTCTATGCATATCCTCTAGCTACCATCTTTCTTTGGTACCAATAGTGCCGACACGGCATAGGGGCTAAGGCTCTATTGTATTAGTTGCTTATCTAGTAATTCATCAACAATTTGCTGTAGAATCTTGTGCTCATTTGGACTCATCCGATAATGCGACAAATTTGGTAATGAAGCTCCGGGCGTTAATTTGATTTGATGTTGAATTGCTCTAACTGGGGGCAGCTCGGCTGGCAACTCAGGGGGTGTAATATCAGCAAATTGTTGTAGTAACTTACTAATACCAACGTGCAAGGTATCTACCTCTGTTGTGAAATTCTGTTCCTTGATAACTAAGGACATGATGCAAGCGGATTCTTTCCAAGCATTAAGCAGAGCCTCTCGGGTAACAACAAATAAGGCTGTTTTGGCATTCGATGTATTGGCCTCTTGGTCAGGAGAACGGGGCAACAATCTCAATCTCTTACCCTTCCAATCAAAGGTGTAAGTGTTCGCTCTGCAGTCATAAATTGCCCCAACATCGAATAGCCAAGGCCTTCCGAGTATCAAATGGCATACATCCATATCCACAACGTCACATAAAATTTCACTTGCATAGTGACGACCGATTGAAAATGATACTTTGCACATGTCGATCACCGCAATCTTCATCCCCTTTTTAACCCAACTGATTTTATATGGGCTAGGATTATTGGTCGTCTTGAATTGTAATGCCTGAACCACATCGCGAGAAATAACATTCTCAGTGCACCCACTATCAATCAGCAAATCACAGACCTTTCCTTTGATCGTACATTTGGTTTTGAACAGAGCATTACGCTGGGTCTTGGCCGGTCTCCGTAGAGCTAAAATCAATTTTTGTAACACACAAATTAGAGGATCCCCCTCATCTCCAACCACGTCTTCTACTTCTTCTTCAAATTCATTATTGTTGTTGCCCAACTCTTCCTCTTCTTCACCATCCAGCAACTGTATATATGCCCAAGTTGGGCATTCATTCGACTTATGCCCCAGTTGAAAGCATATGAAGCATTTGATGCTTGAAGGCTTGACATAAGGATTTTCCTTCATAGGAGCCTTTCCTTTATGAGTGTCCTTTAGTTCAACTATTTTCTTTCCAACTGCAGCAGGTGAATTAGTAGCTATCGGAGTGAAACTTTCTTGCTATTTGCTGTTGCGGCTTGCGTAGAATTCTTGCTGAAATCTGCTGAATGATCAAATGTTCTCCTACCTTGCCGACTATGGGCCTGTCGTGGAAATTGAGTCTCCACCTTCAGGGCTTAGTTTACTTCTTGCGACAGCGACCATGCAGTATTTAATTCAAGTCGATCTTGAATTGCATCTCTCAAGCCCCCAATATACCTTGCGACCAATTGATTATCATATTCATTGAGATTGTTTCTCGCACTCAGTCGATAAAACTCTTCCGTATACTCGTTTACCGATCTCGAGCCTTGCGAACAGTGTTGGTACTGCATATATAACATTTGTTCAAAATCAGTGGGTAAAAAATGGCCCCTTAATAGTTGCTTCATTCGATGCCAACTCTGCACAGACCCCTTTCCATCCCGCCTCCGAGATTGGATTATTTGGTGCCACCGCGCACTAGCGCCGCCTTTCAGCCTGCAAGCCACATATTTAACTTGCTTCTCCGGCCCAATCTCCATATATTCAAAAAATGTTTCAACAACCCCTCTCCCAATCCAGGTAATCTTCGATATGCAATTTTCCGTCAAAAAAGGGTATATCCAATTTTACACGGAATTCACCTTGATATATGTCCCTAACATTCGTGCGACGTTTACGATTAAACACTTGCTCCTCTTTCGAGTCCGTCAACTCCACTGGTCTGAATTGTTTAAGTTCCTCTTCAGAGTCTGAATCCAATTGCGCCCAAGCATCTTGTTGCCGCTCTCTGCCCGTCACGAGCCCCCGTCTCGCTGCCGGTATAGTCACCGGAGCTACCGTTCGAGCATTTTGATTCCGATCTAGACGAGCGTTAATCAACCTCAATTCTCAACGCATTTCTCCAAAAAATTGGTCCAAACTAGCGGAGATCTCCTGTGTTTGTCTCGCCAACTGGTGGTGCTCTGTCCACAGAGCTTCAAGGCTATGATCCTCTCCAGAAGCCACCCGGTTGCTTGCGTCTCCCATCCTGAGCTCTGATACCAATATGATGAGGATCAAACCTGCAAGAAAGAGATAACAAAACAAACAGCAAGAGATAGAACAGTAACGCTGTGTTATGTATAATATTTCGTAAAAACTATCTTCCTCTACAGTTTCTGTAATATATGCTAGTCCCTCTTCTTATAATCCAAAGAGTACTGAAACTAAAAAGGTGTAAAATGGCACTACATAACTAATTAAAGAAACTATGATAGTGGGCACATGCTTAATAACAGTTAAAAGAAAAGTAGCTAATAAGAGATAAGATACTCCTTAGGCTTGTGTTAAGTAACGATGCATAGCATCAAGATTGGAACAACTTAAAATCAATTTTAGAATGGAAGTTAAAGGAGGAAGAGGTGGGGAGCACTTGATTCTAAGAAACTCATACCTCTCAAACTATACTATGTTGAGCTATATATTTTTAAAATTAGATTTAAATTAAATTTGATCAATTTAATTTAGAGAGTTAGGGCTTACATTCCAACAACACGGGTTGGAAAAAATGTTCAGGAAGGTGATGACTTACAATGTAACTGAAAAGAACATTGGACTCGAACCCAAAATATATGGTGAGAACTACCGATTGGTGGTAACTCCGTATTACAATCCGAGAGCTTTGAAGAACTGTACGAATTGGATTATGTACTGTACACACAAATTTGGTGTTGTACGAACTAATCATAATGTACGAGCTTGATTCTACAATGTTTAAGCTTTCTTAATAGACTTTGTAGAGGTCTTTGGCAATCATAGGGTTGAGGCTTCTATGAGAAAGCGTTAAAGAAAGGGCTTTGAGCAAGGGAGAGAAAGGGTGAGATTGTGAGAGAGAAAGAGGACCATTCTGAGTTTTAAATTAGTGTGAGAGAGAATTCCACATGGTTGCTTCGTCCAACTTGCATCTAAGTTCCTCTATATGTCATTATTCATCTTGAGCAAAGCTTTGGGAAGAAAACCCCTTTGGTGTCAAAAGGCCACCTGCTACTTTGCCGCATCAGAGAAGGTGAAAGTGATTCGAGCTACTCCGCCATACCGAGGAAGGTGAAAATGATTCAGGCTACTCCGCCTCATAAGGAGGGTGAAAGTGATCCAGGCTACTCCACCTCACCAGGAGGGTGAAAGTGATTCTGGTTCTCCGCCGCGTCGGGTTGGTATAAGTATTTTATAAAGGCCTATTTGCCTAGCCGTAGGGGTTGAAGGAGATTCACTAAGAGTTTAGTTCAGTAGTAGAAGAGGATGACTTCGAGGAGTGGACATAGGTCAAGTTGACCAAACCACTATAAAAATCTGATTTCTTTGTTCTTTTTCTTTCCACATTTTATGTTTTGTGCTTTACTTTTTTGCATATTTACTTTACGCGATCTAGTTTGAGTTTGATGATTATTGCAATGTGTGGTTGATTGAGTTTAATATTTTTTTGAAAAAGAAATTAAAAAACAGAAAACAAAAAGAATAAACATATTTATTTTTCAATAAAAATCTGAAAACAAGAATTTAACATTTGTTTTACTATTTGCTTCTGCTATATGATCTGAAATTTGTTTTTGTTTAATTCAAAAATAAAAGTTTTAAAAACACCAATTCACCCCCTCTTGATGTTTCATTGAATAGTTCAATTAGTTTCACAATCATCTATTGAACTTTCACTCTGACCTATATCTAACAAAATGTAAGGGACTTACAAATTTAGAACCCCACCAAGAGATTAGTCAGCCAGACTTTGGACTTACAATCTTACATGGAAAGGACTGTCAACTAATCCACCAAAATATTTTTAAACCAGGAAATATAAACTAACAATGAAATCTGAAACTAAGGCTGAACACAGACTTTATATTGTTCTCCAAATCATGTAAATAGATTTATCACATTCTAAACAGTTTTTTAGCTTGTTAATCACATTTTCTGTTCCCTTATTGTCCATGCAATCAGAATAAAGTAACATTGAGGAAATATAACGAAGAGCGACAAACCTATTGACAGATCACTGAAATCAAGAATGTGAGAAGGGTGCCACCTCAAATTTGTCACTCCATTACAACCATGCAAAGTACTATTAACCATCACAACCGCGTCTTTTCTATCACAAGGATCATTGACTCCATTAATTGTCGAAACTCTGTCAGCTTGACCACAAGCATCATCTGAACCGTTAACTCTCAAACTTGCATGTGAAGAACACTCATCAGAACATTCAGCAGGAGAACACTGCTGCATATGAATATTATCATCCATAATATCTGAATGTATCCAGGTCGGAGAAGAAATGCACTTAAGGGATCCATCAACATCCTATGGCATAAAGGTGGAAGTTTAGACTAAATTTGATCTGTGGTCATAAATTGTTACGTGGAAAGAAAGTAAACTCAGAAACTTACCTTTCTTATGTCAAGCAAACTTGAAAGATCATGCGGTAAATACTTTTCAACTTCATCTATCAAAAATCCTGGAATAGGATTACCCCTGAACAAAAGAGAAATATTATTTTAGTAAATAAAATAATAAGAGTTAAGACACCATTTACTTTCATCATTCAATCTGCAAAAAGCTTTATGGCATTGTGTAGAACAGTATTTAGGGGAAAAAAGCATGTGAAATCTTCCAACGGAGAATCAAAATCCGTTTTATAATGTGGTTGCCGCTTATGGTCACATATGGATGAACTTGCAAATATAACAGCATCAAATTATACAAAATGGACTTAGTTTGAACTGTGCATCACCATAACACAAATGTACTAAAAAGAGTACAAAGACATTGTGCAAACACACCAAAAAAATATAAAAGCACGTAATACAACATGAAAGCACATGTTCAAATGCATCTAAAAAGCATACAAATACACTATGCATATGCAACAAAAACATGTAATTGTGTTGTATAGGCTAATAAAAAAGTATGCAAATGCATCATGAAATGTGTAAGTGCGCTTTATAAATACATTGAAAAGTGTGTGCGACATATTAAATCACCAAGAATAACTTTACTCACGTGTGCTCTAGCAAATGCTTCAACTCCTAAATTGGAGATACAAGAATGAGGCATGTGCTAAAAAAAAAACACTTAAATTTGAATCATCTTGAGAAGTGGGCAAGCACACTACACAAACACACGAAAAATCATGCAAGTGTTCAAGCGTGTCATTTGACTTCACTTAGAAACATGCAAGCATGTCGTGCACATCAAAAACCATGCAGGACCACCAAAATTGAATTATTCATGTGTTGTAGTGAACAAGCTAAACACTCGAACATGACATTTGAGAATACTGCATTGATTCAAAATAAATTAAATTCAAACCTACCTCACTCAGAAAAGCATGCAACCGACTTAAGATAATTGTGCAATCCATCTAAAAAATTTGCAAACCCTCTTTTTCATGACGCTCTCAACCGGGCCCCCCTATCTAAACATAAGATCTTAATCTCATATTTAAAATGATTTCAAAATTATGCTCGTGGTCCAATACAAGACACTCAAATCATTATAGACTGAGAATTAAAGGCTTAGCTACAAGCATCCTTGAAGATATTTTGTTTTATGTTAGCATTAGACATTTAATGCCTTTTAGAAAGAAAATTCATTTAAAATGCAAACCTCTAACGTCGCTCTGCTTATATTGCAACTCATAAAGCTAATTTGTGAACTTGATCCTCTGCTAGCATGAAGACAAAGTGGACAAGATTCAAAGCAACAAAATAAAAATGTACAAAACTCTGATGATAATCTTGTTGATTAAAATTCTCAACCAGGTGAGATCGTGCCAACAAAATTTACCCAAATTCCAAAACTAATATTGTGGGGCCCAAGTACCCCTACAAAAAATATAAAAAAATCTATACAAATCTTCAATTAAAATCTACTACCTAAAAATTTAAAACAAAAAAGTGATCAATCTTCGGCAACAGCTTGACAAGAGTGATGAATTTAAGATTAACCTCAACTCACAAAGAGTCAATGTCATATCAAACGTAACACTATGTTCACTCACAAATGATCTATCGCCAGTAAGGAAGTAACATTTACCATTTAATTGGTGATATTACAACTAAATGGCATCATAAGTAAATGGTTATAACTTGAGCCCCTCACGAAGTAGTTTCATCGCAAAATGACACACTTAAAAAATGGTCACAAGACTCACAACCAAAGTCTATAAATTCTCCAATGGCTTAAAAACCTTCAGTAGTGAATTGTGGAATGCACTTGATAAGACACAAAGTCCTCTATCAACTAATATTAACTTTTTTTATCTAATATTGACTTAAATTCATCACCTTGACAAAAATTCACCCCAAGGCTGTAAGGTCCCCTTGAACGACACAACTCATAGCTACCAACAAGGATCCTTTAGTCAGGCTGGATCGACTACCTCCGCTAACTAAGTAGACCAGGGTCTATGATAACTCAGAACAAGTAAACCATGAGATCTTAATCGAGTTTGTCATCATTCCCTACCATCTACTTTAAGCTATTTACGGTTCACTGTCTATGATAACTTAGGCTACGATTCACAGTCTTTATTTTTTATGCTTTTAGGTATTTTTGCTATTTACGGTTGTACCCTTTCTTTTGAGTTTACTTGAGTTGTAGCACAAGGGGCATTTGAATCATTGTTGTTTGTATTTCTCTAGGCCTATATATTGTGGCTTCTTCTATTGTAAGAGGGATGATGATTTGATGAATAAAATTCTAGCTTATTTTCTTGGTGATCTCTTTGTGAGTTCATGTGAGTGGTGAAGCCTAGGATAGGCCATCGGAGTACCCAACAGCTCGTCAACGGGGGAGCTCTTGGTTCATTATTTTATTTGTATTTTTATTCTTCATCCTCCCTCCTTCCCCCATACCGCCGGCAATCCTTCCCTGTCTCTCAAACCGAGAACATCACCCCTTTTTTCTCTCATTACCCGCCGTCTTCCCCACCCCTCTCAAGCCGCCAACCACTTCCCCATCACGATGGCCTCCCCTCCATTCTTCCTCCCACCGGCCAAAATCCCTTCTTCCAATCCCATCGCCGGCCACCCCTTTTCTTCCCCTCTTAATATTGAATTTAATCACCATTAAGACCTACCTAATTTAACCTACATAATTTTAGAAAATTTTCATCCAATTTCAATTTAAATACTTTCCTAAATTAGCCAAGTCAAATTAGGAAAGTTTTTTCAATTCAAATCTAATTTAATATTAAATTAGATGAGAATTCTTTATCCTTTTCCTAAATGGGATTAATGCATTAAGAAGCATTAATTTCCCTCCCCATCTCCCTCTTCCTCTAAGCATGGCGACGGCCCCCCTTATTTTGAATCCCTCCAATTTCGTTTCTCTCCACATTGACATCACCTAAATTTGGATTTGAAATTCAAATTCATAATTCATAATTACCTCCCACTAATTAACCCCAAAATTTGAATTTAATTTCAGATTTATTCTTTCCTATCTTCCACCCCAAACCTTAACCTCCTCAAGAGCTCACCCACCAAACTGTGCCCCTCTCTCTCCGTGGCCACCCCTCCCACTTATCTCTTTTCCCCTTGGAAACCCTACACTTCTTATGTCTTTATAAGCCAAAAGAAGAAGACAAGATCCTCCCTCCTCCTCATTGGTGTATGGCCGATCTTGAGATTGCCTACAATGCACAGGGAAAAATCGACATCCTCCGTTCTTCTTTCTATGAATCGGATTGGGAGTATGACGACTCGGTGAAAAGCTACGTCAACAGCATCATTTATTGCCTTGCCAAGACAATCGAGATTCAACAACCCATAGCACCTTGGCTTCTCCTTGGAGGATCCACTACTCCACCGCCGGCTACCTTTCCAAAAACAAAGTTCCTAGGTTCCTTCTTCCTAGTGGTGGTCTCTCTTCAAGTGTGGAACATCTTCTTCCACTAATCCCACGAGTGATTGAGTGAGGAGGTCCTCAAGGTGAAATATCTCATTATTAAATTACTAATTTTGTTATTGCGCTCATAACTTATTATTGTCTTTGAAATTTGAATGAATTTTCTTGTTAATCTACGTGCATCTCTTTGCCTAAGCAAGTTGAAAGTTACAAACTCCTAAAATCTTTCCTTGTTGTGAATGATAACTTTATACTGGAAAGCTTTTAACAATTGCTCTTATTAATTTCTCGTAAACTCCTGGTAGTTTCACATCATGAACGTTTTAAATTAAACAAAAAATTGGATTTAGTTTGAAGCATATGTTGTATCTGGGAGAAGAAACCTAGTAAGACAAAAACGTTTGCATCTTATTATATTATAAGCTAGCCGCACAAAGCCATCTTACCAAGGGAAAAAGTTTAAAAAGGTTCTAGACATAAATTAAAAGTTATTTTCCGTCTGTACGGGCATTAAAACATGCATGAGAAAGATGAGACTACATATCAAATCAACATTTCAAGATCAGCAAAATTTTCAAAGGCACGGAGCTTAAAAAAAGAAAGAAAAAGAGATCATTATAAAACATTAAGATGTTAAATAATGTTTACTACCCAGGGAGAGAACGCACCATTGAGCTAATTGATTCTTTATGTTATTCTTCCTTCTATCTAACGCTGCAATCACAGGTTCCCATTTTCGACAAGTATCAAAATCTTTACAATCTACATCTATCAGATCAGCCTCTGCAGGCAACTTGTAACTTCCAACTGAACATTCTTGAAAGTTTCTTACCACAGATATCTCCTTGACATCAGTTTGAATGTTTGGTAATGGTAAAAGGTGAAGATGACGGAGTTGCTCACCTAGAAATGAAGCTAAATGGAATGCTTCATTTTTGGACAACAAATCTCTCCTACAAAAGGAATAAAATGATGAAAATTAGCTTTTTAAGAACTTTTATAGACATATCTAAAGTTAGCAAATTACAAATTAGATTGATCGCAGAAATAAGACTTTGAATTAAAAAGTCTATATTATTTACTATAAAGATAACTACACTCACAAATTAGCAAAAATATCTCCTCTGCATCGTCTACATACTATGAAAGGCCACATCCTGGAGCACATAACAGCTCCACTGTTATGGTTTTCCAACTCAAATTGATTCTTGCTCCATATTCCAAATGGAAATTCCTCTGTAGTGTTATCTCTAATAACAAAACTACTATTAGCAATGATGTCAGGTACTCCTCTTCCATCCCATGAAAATGTTCTATAACCACTACCGTCAGCAACCACAAATCCACTTGCAATGATATCCGGAACATGATTCATCAAAGGTGACTTCTTTTTGGCAAGAAGACTATAGAACTCAAGCTGCAGATATGATAAAAGCACCATTGTAACAAGCGAAGCTCAAAGAAAAGCAAAAAAGAAGGCTTCATTGGAGTTAGAATAAACCTCTGTACCAAGACCAAAGACAGAAGAGGCCAGACCTCCCTCAACAAAAATTTTTATCACATTGTCAGAAACAAGAAATACCTAGACAAATGAACCGCATAAGTTGATAAATCCCAATGATAAAAACTACAAAAAAAAATTTCTTCGCCAAAACTATTGAAGAATGTATACAAGCTGCCATAGCGGCAATCCTCAAATAACAGGGAAAGTGATTGTGATATCAGCATTATTATGCAATGATAAGGGCATTCAAGTATTCAAAAAGCTGTTTTAATTCTCAATATTATCAAAAGCGCGAGGCATCCTAAAAATTTATATAATTTCCCAATACTCATGATGGTAGGCACTCCCCAACCAAAGTGAGGCGATAATTGAAATAGCTAATCCATTCAATAAAACTATTTTAACTATAAGGGATAATTTTAAAGAATTTGAAATGATGATAGAAAATATGTCCGTTAAACAAGTAAATAGAGTTACTATCATAGGATTAAAAAGAAGAAAAGGTAGACTTAAGGCTAAACGTTAGAAATTGTTCAAAATAATTTGCAATCAAGTTTAACACCTTTAAAGCTAATCAACTATCACAAATGAAAAATGAGGACCCATAAAGCTGACCCAAAAAATTGGAATAAGGCAACGATACTGATGATGGCTCATGTTAATTATTTATTCTCAATTTGTCATATGTCCATTAAGGACCCAAACCACTCTCAATATCTACACGATAATTTATAGAGGATGCCATGATTTGACATATTTTATTTTGTTGCTCATGCTCCAAGATGCAACCAAAACATATATGATTCCTCTCATTTTTAAAACCATTCACACCAATTTAAAAGGAAATTTCTTCACGAGTTGTTGATTGAATTACAGAAAAAACGACAACAGGACATCTAAATGATATCAAATCAATAACAGAATCAGTAACAGCTTTTGCACGATAACGCTATGCCAATGACATGAGATATAATATGCTTACAGGATTACTGCCTGTACCAACAGGAAACTTTTCATCTTCCATCGGTAAAGGCAAATTGTAATGGGCACAAATGTTCATCAGGCAAGAAGACCACTTTTCCACATTCAAGTTTAAGCAAGCACCCTAAGAAAAGCAAGATTGATTAGAACAACTGCAGTAGCGATCATAAACTAAGATCCTTGCTGACATCAAGACAGAAAGACCTTAAATCATAAGGCTATCTTTCATTTGACAAGATCCTTCTTAAGAAGAAATTGTGCAGCATACCTTCCATACTAATTCTCGTATAGCTGGTTTTAAAACCCAGAGCTTGTGGAGCCATGCCCTCATCTCCCTTTCTCCTAAGATGTTGCTTGGGCTACAAATTGTATTATAATGATCTATTTCTTTATCCAAAAACATAGATAAGAAGTCTATATCATAAGAAAACTCTTGATTACAATTCTTGAAAGCATCTGAAAGACCGCTGATATAATTACAGCTGTTAAGACGTCCATGCTGCTCTTTAACTGGTTCCAAAACTTTGAGCCTTTTCTCTCTCCGTGACATGTCAGGATAATTCAATAAATTCATGTCAAACAATGCATCACTTTTTGGATGTTCATTAACCCCACCTTGAACAGCTAATAATCCAGCACGACAAACTCCCTTATGAACATGGCCTGGAGCCATATCCAGGCACACAAATTCAAAATTTGATGTATTTGCAAAATTTTGTGTAACAGCAATTGTTGTCTCTAAATTTAGCACGCAATGCCACCATCCACTTGGAACAAATATTGTCTCTCCTGGCAACTGGGTACACTCCAGTGGTTTATCTTGGTCACCAAGAAGAGGGTAAAAATCAAGCCACCACTGCACAAATAATACACAACAGATACTTAGATTTGCATAAATTATATTTCAAACAAGACAGGGATCAGTTACCTGCAATGATGATGGACTTTCAATATTTACATCACCATCATCCTCATTAACATGAACTGTAACACCTAAAGGTACCCTACCAGGAGGATAAAGTGCCCACCTATAAAGAAATCCAAAAAGAATTACTATCCTAGTTTTTTGAGATGTTTTCTCAAAAAACAAGAACCCCACGCAACATCAAAAAAATAAACAATAACCTTGCCATTGATCGTTATTTGTTATATCAGATCATCAATAAAAATTTACTCATAATACATATTATGCGTAAAATAGAAAAAATCTTCTCTCAACACATTATAAGGCAAGGCCAATATTTTTTAGGGAAATAATTTATTCCCTTACAGCCGTATTCAAAAAATTCAAGGCAAGGAACAACATGTCTTAATAGGGACACCAGTTGACAAAATAGGAATGTGCGCATAAGTACACAGTTTATGGATAAGGCAGCAATCATAATTTGTATTCATTGATAAATCCATCTGATTAGCAAGTCTACCTTTTCCTCCCACACAAAAGGGTGTTCCAAGCACTCGTCAAACCTGGATCAACATGCCAAGATGCACCAGATCTCTCTGGTCCAATTATTAGCCACCTGAAAGGGGGTCGCTGATCATAATCCAGCACATCAAAAAAGTCTTCTTGAAACAGACTTGGTACACAATAATCTTGTAACAATGCTGGTGCAGCTTCTCCAAACTGCAAAAATATCAACTTAGACTTTTAAAACAATTTTTAGGAACCATTCAAGATTAAGGTAGAAAATATTTAGTCACCTTATCATCAAAAATATAAAGGGGGTCTTCATCATGCTGGCAATTCATGTATGAAACATAATCCTTAAGTTTCATAGTAATTTTCTTAGAGCTTCTTTGAGATATCCTGAAAGTTACATCACCATAATTTGACAATAACTGATCCAATGTCCACTTATTTCTTGCTGGCCAAGTTTTAGCCACTTCAGTAAGCAAGACCTGGAAAGCAAGCGTAAACATCATAGTTTATTAAAACTTCTGAAATGATCTGGTAAGAGTGAGGAAATGCCTATAGAGAGAAGGTTAATATTAAAACTACGTGCAAAATAACTGGCATGGAAAGGGTGTCCAATTAAAGCTAAAAACAAAAACAAAAAATCTAAGTTGAAGAAGAAGCATAAGGCTAAGAGAATGAAACAGTTATAAACAAAACAACATGGAATATAACATGGTAAACAAGTTCCTACAACAACATCAAGCCTTCACCATAAAGCATTGCAGGTCTCACCACCATCTTATACAATTTTCCCTTAAGTTTGAGGGGAACTTTTCTATCGCACAAGCCTTAAGCATTCCTCCACTTCAACCACCAACTTGAATTCTGCTGATAATATCCCCATCTATTTCACCATCACTTTAAACAATAGATCCAATATATCTAAAGCGTGTACTCATATTAATGACTTGATCGCCCAAAGTCACAATTCCCTCACTAGGTCTATTGTTGCTAAAATTACACTTTATATATTCAATTTTAGATCTACTATAGAGAAAACCTTTAGACTCTAAGGTTGACCTCCATAATTCAAGTTTACCTTCAACTCCCTCTCTAGTCTTATCGACAACAAGAATATCATCAGCAAAAAAGATACACCAAGGTACATCCTCTTGCAAATGTCTAGTGAGAACATCCATGACTAAAGCAAAAAGATATGGACTTAAGGCTGATCATTGATGTAATCCAACCGAAATAGGAAAATACAAACAAGTTCCTAAGACAATAAAATAAATTCGTAAAGAACAAATACAAGGATTGTAGAATGCAACACTCAAGTTTATGATGGTAGTAGCCACTGCAGTCTCTGGGGCAGCAGCATATACTGATATACACGAAACCTACTGAAGAAATAGAAAGAAAACACATTTTGCAACGACCCTAGAACACATTTTCGTAAAAAATACATACTGAAATCATCCAGACTAAAACCTGATAGCATTAAGGGAAGAAAATTTGCAGGGAAAGGTCCTTTATCAACCACTCCTACCCCACCTCTCCAACCCCCAAAAAACAGCAAACATAGGGTACATTTTGTTAGAGCTAACAGAGCCCCAAATAAAGAAAGAGGAAGATAAAATATGCAAGATAACGATAACCATTCAATGAATGCAGCGTTAACAGTACAAATAGGAAGCATTTGTTTTACAGTATTCAGCTATGAACCCTCAAAATTAAAAAGAGGGGACATCCCTAAATGTTTGGAAGTGTTTAAAAGAAGCTAAATGTCTGTACCGGTTTCTTCTCATCAATTCTATAGTTACATTCTTCCAATATATGGTTATTTCTTCTTTCCACATCTTTATCATCTGAAGGAAATCCATCTAATGTGGTAAAGCATCGATACCACCTTTTGTAAAGAAACAATGAGCTGAAACCTGATAGAACAAGGTAGAATAAACATCCTAGTGGTTAGTTGATAAAAGCACATACGGCTAATATGAAACAAAAAAGGGATGAATATAGATAACCTTATACCATCAAACTGTAGAGGCCGCCTGTGACAATCGCCAATCTTCATGCACAGATTTTGTCTGGACCAACATCATTAGTTAAGCTTTAAGAAGATAATTTAAAAAACACAACGTTAAATGTATCAGCCAATGAATGATCGTCTTCACATGATGCTAATAAAATGAACAGAATCTATGGGTACGTCTAGAATTGAAGTCAATTGCACAGATCCTGCTTCTATTTAATTGAAGCAAGGTTCATTTTACATACCGATATAAAGTTGTCCTCTTCCAAGAACCTCTATATTCAAACTGACCCCCATCTCTAAGACATAAATTCATCCAAAGTGGCTCTTCATTGCAGAATATATAAAGAACACTGAAGCAGTTGAAGAAAACATTAGAGGTACTTCCGTCAAGATTAAAATAGATAAGCAAGAAGGACAACCAAGCATAAAATTATACATATAAAAATCATTTCTCAAATTAGGAAGATTCACTTTCAGCTGTTTATGATAAACTGTTATGAAAAGCTTCAGTAAAAGAAGCAATATTCATGCTAACGGTTTATAATTCCTTATTTACATGTTAGATAATCTAAGCCAGGATATAAATGTGATATGAGGGCTGCGTGACATCCCAAACAAAATAAGCTTAGCAAAATTACATCCCATCTTGTAGGTGCTGTTCTAAATACCAAAAATTTCGCTTCTCACTACAATCACTATACTTAGAAGAATATAAGCAAACATGATTCTTAGATTATAATCTTAAAAAGTTAAAACTCCCTCCTAAAGTTAAAATTCACTAGTCATTTCACTTATCATTGGCACCATTTTCACAGGCATCACACACCGGTGATAAAAACTAACCACTGCACTTACTGCACATAAAAAATTACGTAGGATGTTTTAAAGTCCAAAGTAGTTACGCAAATCTATTATGATAAGCATAAGACCATGCAACAAACTCGCACGTCACAAATTATCAATGTTTAACAGTTATTTGCTACTTTCGAAGAAAATAAAAAAATGAATGAAATCACTTCAGATGAAAACTCCATGGCTTCTGACAGAAAAAGTGCTTCAAAACCATGATAATAATGAAATCACTTGACAACAACACTCTCCATGAAACTTATATTTTGATTATTATTATTATTATTATTATTATTATTATTATTATTATTAGTATTTACTTAAATACATTTTTTTGTAAAACCTTGTCGCTCGTGTAAATTTATGTCGTGTTGTGACCTCACGTGTGTGAAAATTCTTAGTTTTTGCACGTGAAAACCCCAGCCAATATGGTTATCGATCTTAGTCGTTTCGATTATTCTGAAAGTATCAGTGTTATCTGTTTTGTGAAAGAAAATCATCTGGGAATTTCAAATTTTAGTAGACGCAATTTGGACAACTTTTTTTTTGCACGTCTTATTTTTTACGTTTGTTACTTCATCGCGTTTGCATTAATCGACTTCAAACAAGTTATAGAGGTCAACATAAGTCCTTGTGTTCCATTGACCTTATAGATCTAGTCGGGAAGAACAAAAACTATATGAAGATCCCGCATTCATTGAATCTTTGATACGACCAACAAAAACAAGATTATACAAAGGCACCACATATGTTGTATCTTAGATCTGGCGGGGAATAACAAGAAGGCCTTAGCATGCCCGACAATGCCCTCTACAGGGAGAACAAGTCGAGAGACTATCAAAATGTTGACTAATAAGATATTTTAAACTATGTGAAATGACCTCAATCACTTTCGAAAATTAGAATTAAATCATAAAAATTAATTAATTTTTAATAACAATAAAAGGTGTTGATAAATTTAAGATTAGTTCGAATGTTTATAAAGAGTATGAAGCTAAAAAAATATCAAATAAAATTCATGTGATATTGCACACAAATATAAAAAAATGCACAGTACTTATTAGGTTGACTAGGTTTTCAAATTGAGATCACTTAGTCCAAGCTAACTAGCACCTAATCAGCCCAAAGGTCATAGTGAAATATTGTCATGTGGGTCGCATTGAGATCCTAAGCCTTGTACTAATAGAGAAAAATCTTCTAAATCTATAACTATTGATGGGCTTGATTGTTAAAAAATCTAAAAAAAGATAATCTCTAAGGGGTTGTTTGGTATTGGATTGGATTTAACTTAAGTGGGATTTAGTAAATCCCCTAAATCCGGATTTAGTAAATCTGCAGGGTGTTAAATCTCAAAATTTGTTTGGTGTGACATATGTTAAATCCTGATAAATCCTGAGAAATTGTTTGTCAACATAATCCAGGACTTAAAACGCTTGGTTCATTAATAAATTAAAGTTAATATGTTTTAAATTTAATTTGCTAGTTAATTATGATTTACTTATCAATTTTAATTTTAATTACATTTAATAAGTTTAGGGTTAATTAATATAATTAAAATTAGCTTAATTATTATTAATTATCAAATTAGTTATTTAGGTGCTAATTATCAAATTATAAACTAGCTTAACTAAACCCAAATTAATTAAATATTTAAGTATTAAAATATTTTAATAACAATTATAGTTTAAATAAATATAATAACCAACAAATTATAAATATGAATTAAATTAATTTAATGATAATTATACTTCTATTATCATATTAATTAAACTAATTAAATTATTATCTAATTAAAAAGTTAAGAACTAATCCTATAATACTTTTCTCTTATTGTTTTTTTTTTAGCTCTCTTCCTATTTTTTCGAGGCTTCGTTGGTACGAGATGCAACTTCGAACGAGTCACCTGCCAGTGCCTGTCTAGGGTTTGCTTTTCCTCTTATGCATTTCTTCGTTGTTATTCTGCTTCACGTGAAGTTGAGTTCTACAAGTATTGAAGCATCTTTGCCTCCTCCGAAGACATTGTTCCTGTCGGATCGAAAGTTGCAATAGAAGTTCGTCACGAAGGTAACGATATTTCTCCCCTTTCGCGTGCTTTATCCGCTAAAAATGAGTCCGTAAATCCGCCGAACAATGGGATTTCCTAAATCCCATATTTACGCCAAAAATTTTTAAATCCGGGATTTACACGCCATTTGGATTTACGACGCCTTCAGAAATTGTTTGGCAGGATTTAACATAAATCCGGCGTAAATCCGATACCAAACAGCCCCTAAATTGTTTAGTTCAAATATTATTCATAAAGTTCTGAATGATTATGCATAGTAAGTCATTCATAATATGGGCATTCCAATAGATATAAGCCCCATCTCTCTTTAATTTATCAAGCTAGCATAAAATTCCATTAAGCTTATCAAATGAAAATTATACTCAGACAACTCATAAATAGAGTAAAACCCTAAAATAATTAAATCAAGGCATTTCAATGAATGCAAGCCCTACCTCAACCTATCAGCGGCTTCTACGCCCAATCAAATCCCAACCATGTCTATGATCTAACTCTAACCAAAACACACAACCGGCGGCTGAATTATTCTAGCAAGTAATCCGAGAAAAAGTGAGAGAAACTAATGCCTAATGGTATAGAAGGAGAATACCTGCTAACGCAAGACAGACGACCGAGATCAAAAGACGATAGGTGCTCGAGAATGGCGCATATCAGCTCGTCTGGAAGGACGCGGAGGTGTCCGAGGGCATCAGGCCGCCGATCTCGCGGCAGCGGCGTTTGTTCCATGCGGCGACTGTGATTCGGAGAAGAGAAGCGGCGATTCGAATCGAGAAGAAAAACTATCGTTAATTAAAAGGATTTTACGAACATGCAACAAGGCTGTCCGCGTTGCTACCACGCGGAGATGGCGCGATAATTAACTTGGCGGTGACATTGCGGACAAGCAGTGAAAGTACCGCGTACCGGCTTGGCGGCTTCAGGAAAGATTGAGACCAGCCAATACTTGTGAAGAGAGCAAGATCTTCATGTTTCTTCTGTTTTCATTTTATCTTTTTTTTTAATATTAATTTACATACATATAGGGTGATATTCATGTAATATTAAAGTTTTAGGTGTTAGATATGTAAATAAGATGTTATAAAGTGGTATGTATGTAAATTTCCCTTTTTTGTTATATTGAGGGGTTTTTTATAGGTACATTGATTGTTAATATTCTTCTGGCTATTATAAATGGGATTTTAATGCAAAAATATTATGAAAAATTTTAATGTATAAGATATTTAAATTGTTTTTGTTAGATATTAAATCATATTGATGATTTATAAAAATTTTGATAGATAATTAAAAATATAATTAATCAATTTTTTTTGGCAATGGCTGCTTACTTCCAATCATATACATCGTGCATAGCATTTTGCCACCACCTACTCAAACGCTCTTAGTTTCCAAACTTCTTCAAATCCCAAATTTATCTCATAATGTCATTGTGATTTCTAAACTTAAGGTTGATAATATGGTTCAATCTTCTTTAACGTATTGAGTTGCAACATCAAGCATTTGATGACCAACAAAGTCCTCCTCTATGGCATCTTGTGTTAGATTGTGTTAAATCAATCATTCATAACATATTACATATAATAGTCTCTGCTTTTAATTGAGTTATGTTTCTTTGATTTGGGCTCAAATTGTATTGATTTTAGTGTCGTTGAGATCGTCTCCCTGAGATGATCAATTTGATTATAAGTTATCGAAATTGGAGTCGGGTGATCATGAATTTAATTTTTGAAGCTTCTTATTCTTATCCACATCGAGATTTGTGCTCGATCAAGATGAGTTTTTTTACGACATATCAAGTATAATACAATATAATTCAATTACAACAATTATAACATAACGATGTAAAATATATAGAGGACAAAATTTAAATTATAAGCCTTATATTAAACAAAAGTAATTATAATATTTTAGAGTAACATGATGAGTGTTTTTAAAATGATTGTAATACAATAAGCAATATTTTTGATAAAATTAAATATAATAAAGACATTTATAACAGATCTATATTACTATAAATGTTCAAATTTGATCAATTTTAGATCGCCATGGAGTGAGAATATATAAACAGATCTATATCACTATTAAAAGAGCTCTTAAAGATCATTATATTAAAACAATTTCGATCAAACATGTTTCAAGCTATGATTGTAGCTCGTGCTCTTATTTCTAATGCCATTATGAATTTAGGGTTTAGGGTGTAAATGTATATTATTTATGGAGAAAAATAAATTTATCAAATATATTGCACCAACAAATTTCAACGAAGACTAATGACTTGCTAAATAAGGAGATGAAATATTATTTCATAATAATTTCTCATGAATCATAATTATAGAATAAAAAAAAGGTTGAGAATAAAAGAGATCAATTTACATATTGCTCAAACGGTTGCTCATATAATATTATAACTTCTCTTTAAAATTTTAAAATATTTTATCAAGCAAAAATTTTAAATATATTTTCTCATAAATTAAAAAAAAATGAACATATTTATTTAATTTGAAAAATTATTGGACGTACATACTCAAATTTCGCCCCTATAAATATATTACAAGGTCAGTGCTACCGCGATCTCAGAAGCGAAGCGGAGATGGACGAAGACGAACACGAGGTCTACGGTGGAGAAATACCTGATGTGGCGGAGATGGAGGGAGACATGGAGGCTCTGAATGCTGACGTCGATATGGCAAGGGCCGACGCCGACGCCGAAGCCATAAAGGTTTCTGACATTATTGCTTCCCCGATCGAAATCTAACCCTAGCTTTTGGCCATTCCTGATCCGTGGCTAATGATTGCTATGGACTCGTCTTGTTATTCATGGAGTTGCAGGAGCTTGAAGAGATGAAGAAGCGTTTGAAGGAGATGGAGGAAGAAGCTGCCGCCCTCCGTGAAATGCACGCCAAGGTGGAGAAGGAGATGGGAGCTGCACAAGGTTGGGCTCCTCGTTTATTATTATCATTATGTTTAATATTCTTTCACGATGAACATCATCTCTTGTTAACTTAGTCATATGACTCATTTTTATGCTCTGTTGCAATTTTGAATAAGTATGATGCTTGAAGCTTAAGGAACAAGAGTCTATTTGTTTTGAGGACATTATAATGATATAATCGTTTGATTGCAGCCTTAAAAAGATGGATGCTCATATCATCATTATAGGTATGGTTGTAGTTGGAGAACTCCTTCCCTTTGTCATCCATTGATGATCAATTTTGTTCCCTCATCCATTGATGTATCAATTTTGTGGGAACATATCAAGATTGGGCGGCAACCCGAGCTCCAGTCGTGAAATGATATTACGCTAACTTCCCGGGCATAATTGTCTTTCCTTCCATTATATTTCTTCATATCCAAGGAACCCTTGCAAGCAATTCATTTTCAAAAACTTTCTACATATATTAGAAATTTCACAAGAAAAATTCAAGTGAATCTCAACTCAACATATAGTCCTTAATCAGACTCTTACTTCCTGAGTGTGATTAGTACCATGACTATGAAAGGGTAATAATGGCCTAAAGATAGATCATTTTTATTCTTGATTAAGGAAACACATGACGACTGTCAAATTCCAATCAAGGTTCAATTTATCTCATGGGATTTGATTTCACCTCTTTCATCGCAAGTTATAGTGATCAAGTAATAATCTGATGAAAAGCTTATGATAGGTCAAAATTTTTTGTGGATTTATCTAGCCCCCCCTACCATTATGTAAGTTCTTGAGGTTGTGTCACATGTTGATAACCTAATATAAGCCTATTTCCTTAGGTACTTCTCATAATCCCTCATTACAGACAATAATTAATAATTCTTTGAGTTAAGTTAAACTACTAAAGGAGAAATAAAAAAAGACACATACAAGGGAGAGACGAAGGATACCGAGTGTTGGACATGATCCTCATTTGAAAGTCTTCATGGGGGAAAGTGATATACATGGTGTACACTCAAAATCATGGGAAGAAATGCTAGTAAGGAAGCTTTGAAGCTTACATAGTATTAGATAGGGTCCTCATTAGAAAGCCTCAACGAGAGCAACTGGCAAATATGATCTCTACTCATATTAAAATCTTTGAAGGAGAAATACGCTCAGAAGGTACAAGATATTTACTCTTATAGAAACCTTAGAAGAAAAAAGTCTTAGAAGACATAATCTTCACATGTTTAATTATCTTAGAAGGTACATTATTTTCTTTATCTAAAATCCTCATAAGGTGCGTGTTCTCCATTTATTTAAAGATATTATGACATGTTGATTCAAAGTCTCAAGGAGCATATGGTGTTGTACAAAGTTTTTATTAAATAGTTTCTATAGAGGCCTATCACTGCAACTCGTAAAAAAGGGAACATAGACTACCAAACTTCGATTTGAGTTGGCCAATTTTTCCTTTAAGAGGCTCTTCCAAGGCATCAACTTTCCTTGCCGCCATAGGTCCCAAAAAAGTGCTATGATATCAATTTGATAGGAAGTGGATACAATTTTATCGAAATCAGCGAACGACAACAAGAAATTAGAAAAAAAACACATCAGAACTCTTTTTATTGCAATATATTGAAAGAAAATAGCAAGATAAAGTTGAATCTTCAATTAGAGAGGAAGATCTGACTCTCCCAAGTCTCTAGCCTACGGCTAGAGCCCTCACAACCTAAGAAATTCTAATTTCAGCAAACTACGACATAATGCTAAAATCACTCTATTGTTAGCCTTAAATAGGTTCCCATAATTCCCTACCAATTGAGCCCCCTTTGCCTAAATAATTTCCTCTTATATTTTGAATTCAAATTAGATATATTGACCTAAATAATTCCATATAAATTGTAATTAAAATATTCCTAAATAATTCCCCTTTGATTAAGAATCTTTCGATATAGCTCCCTCTTGATAAAGAAACTTCCTAATTCCCTCTCAGTCAAATCAGCCGGTCCATCAAAACATTGTTTGATCTTCATCTTTAATGCATTTCATTTGAATTAAATCATTATTTCATCTATCCTTTGCTTGACTAACTTATACATACATCATTCGCTCTCCTTAGTATCTAATATATTATATAAATCACTAAAAGTTAAATTCTTTGCATCACATATTGCTTTCTTAGACTCCCTACGAGCATCTCTATATGTATCCCAATTTTTCAAGGTTTTATATTTAAACCAATTTTTATAATAAAACATCTTATTTTTTATATTTTTCTTGCACATTTTTATTTCATCATAAACTATTTGTATTATTAAGAGTTTTTCATTGTGATGTAGATATTCAACTTTGTTTTAAGTGGAAGATTGGAGCTTTGACACATGAATTATTAATGGCGAGCACCCAATCCTCATATATAATCTTTCCAAATGAAGGCAATTAGCTCTATTTCTAGAGAAATATTGAAGCTTCATCGCTGGGATTATGAACCTCAAACAGCCCTTCCTCTGATCTCATTGTTTAAAGTAGGTCAATCATCCTTATTCTCATAAGAAGATTAGAGTTTGTCTTAGGGATTTTGAACCTCATACACTCCTACTTAGATCCTGTCCATTGAACATGGATAAATGACCTTATTTTTAGAGGAAGACTGGAGCCTCAGTGTATTTGAATATTCGACACAATAATTCAAATTGTTCAATGACGACAATCTACCCCATTTTTAGAGGAAGATTGGAGCCTTGTATTTGGTTTGCGAACCTTAGTTGTTGCTCCTAATTATGCCTCATTCAGGGCAATTTTGACCTCTTTTTAGCAGAAAACTGATGTATAGGTGAAAATCTTTGATATTTCTTAAGCTCCTTTTAAGGTGCTCTTATAGAATTTGGAGTTGGAAGGAAAGTCAATTTTTAGATTTTTTGTTGTGAGGCTTTGTTCTCAAGGGTACATCTCTTGTTGTGGAGGTTAACATCTCATTGTTGATGGCTAATTGTCTTTTTCACGAACTACCTCTAGTAGAAATCCTCAAGTTAAACAAAGCTCACTTAAAACTTGGCCTTAAGCATAGAGTAAAGTCGTGTCCACTTTGATGAGTGTAGGGTTCACCTTGGCAAACAAATTTTAGTATTAGGAAGGTTAATGCTTACTGCATTGGATATAATGTTGCACTAAAAGTGGGACTTATGGGCTTATATCCCATAGATGCATGTGGGACTTATAGGGTTATAGCCTATCCCAAGTGTGCATGCAGAATTTATGGGGTTATGACTTAGCTCGAAGATGGACGTGGGACTTGTGGGGTTATGAGCCATTCATAGATAACACAGCCAAAAATAGTGAAATGTTTGTTAATTGGGTCCAAATCAATTATTATATTGGTTTCAAATGAGGGTTGGGATTTTCACCTCTTAATAAACGAGATAGTGAGTCTCTTAACCTCGTTTTATTGACTATGTAGCCCATTTGAATACTTAATAAAAATTGTCTTGAAGGCCTTATGCAAAAATGGAGCCAAATATCTTCGTTAATGCCATGCTTTGGTTTAGATAGACCGGTTGCTTGGGCTTATTCCAAGGGATAGGAATTATCATTCTGATATTAAAGGGCCTACCTACATGCTAAACGTGAAACCTTTCGATTAAAGGAGCACCCTAACGATGGCTCTTACAACCTCACTTTATAGTTAAGTCGTCTCAAGCTGGATATATGGATTAAGTTTGAATTAATTTTCTTGGGTAGGCCCTTGTGAGTTTATTTTGAAATGGGCTAGCATCACAGACTTAATGAGGCCGTAATTTTGTATTAGAGCCACAAACTTGGCCTAATGTTGGGTCTTACATCCTATAGATGGTTTAAAGATGGGATTTACAAGCTTGTAATAGGGAAAGCCTAATAGTGGGACATACAACTTTGATAAGTAGAGAAGGCCCATGAATGAGATACCCTACGGAGAGGGTGAGTATTAAAGACGGAGTTTACAATTTTAAGAGAGAAAATACAAGATAGGACTAACTTATGGAGGTAGTGAAAACCCAATGGTTTAAATGTTTTGCAAAGACATCCTTTTAACAAGGATTTGAACCATTGAATTCCTCCAATAAATTCTTTAAAATTGATACCTGTGCAGAATGATAATGTATGTTTAGATGAGTTGAACAATGCAAAAACTTAAATTGAGGTTTAGAATGTATGTACATTCAATATAGTATCTAAGCAACATGGATTGGATATATGTACTATCAGAACTTGTGAGAGTTCTAGTTTTGTCCCGCTTCCAATGCTTGAATGTATGCTATTATAAAAAAATAAAGTTGTTGGCCTTCACTTACAAGTTTAAGCTTTTGAATTAAAAATAAGCTTGATTATTGATGTATTTAGCCCAACTTCGATTCTCCTTTGGTCCACAATCTCTTATAAGCATTAGAGTGATAGTTTGGCTAGAAATGAGTTGTTTATGTGAATTATGACTCCCATAGGTCTTTGTTATCTTCTACCAAGATTGAGTAAGGTTTAAGAGTTGATGGTTCTCATTATATCTCTGCATGATTGAGTGAGCTCTTGGTACTTGATTTTCAAATTTGTTAATAAACTTTGATACGAGAGTTTAAGTATAATCTCATATTGGGTGTTTGAAAGTTATGTTGTTGTAGATATGCAAAGCAGTTAGCTCTTATCTAAAGCATAAATTCTTGGGTTAAAAATGGGTTTGACCACTAGTGTATTTGACCCAACTTTAACATATACACCTAGTTACAATGCCTAGACCCAAGATTTGGTGTATATATATATATAGCATTATCATGATTTATTTGTCTGTTTTTCATGTCGTTTTCTCTTTTTTATTTGTGTAATCTTTGGTGAAGAGTTTGGTGAGGTTCCTACTCAGTCCTACTCGACTTGGCTAGAGATTTTTGAATTTTGAGAAGATGAGTGTTATAGTGCATGTTAGAGAAATAACTTATAGAAATTTCATACATTTTTCTTAGGATTTGTTTGTTTTAAGTCCATCCTTTACATATACTTGTTTTCAAAATTAGTAATATTAGTCATTGGCATTTGGGGTGTAGTGAAATATCCTATACCAACCATGCCTTAGAGGTTGTGTGGAGGTGGTGTGAAGTATCGTTGCTCATTTCTAGGATCTAAATGCTTTGTCCCAAAGGCTGTGTATGGACCATAGCTAATCTCAGTGCTAAGGCATTGAAACATAGGGGTCTCACCACCACATCAATCTCAAATGGCGTGCGTGTGGGTGGTATGACTGGGACTTTACTGAATCATTTGGACCATTTAAGACCACTGATTGCAAGTTGCATGCTTAGATTGTTTGAACAAATATTGAGTCCTAGCGGTCCTGGGGAGTTAGTACTACATCAAGCCTTTATCCTACTACGTAGGGTCGGCTACATGAATCATTTTTCTCTATTGTGTCAGGTTAAGAGACAAATTTTCATTTAGATCTAATAATGAAAGGTCATTTCTAATATTTTATAGCCAAGTTTTTTTAGGTCTACCTCAACCTTTCTTAATATAGGTTAAATCTAATACATCTACTGTCCTAACCGGGTCATCGAAAGGCCTCCGTTTTATATGACCAAACCATCTAAGACGTCTCTCTCTAATCTTATCTGCCATTGGAGCTACTCCAACCTTTTCATGTATATGCTAAAGGCGACTCTCTTTTAGTCTAATTTTTTATTTTTAAATAGATTTTGGCAGTCTTGTTAGTTTCCATAGCTTATTGTATTGCCTTAATTCTAGCTATAGTTTTGCATGCTTCTCTTAGCATGCTTCATGTATATTTGTCATAACTATGTGGTGATTCTTTTATTCGAGGAAAATTGATTGATGTTTTTTGTACATCTTCTGGAGATTAAAATTTGGGAGATTTATAATCTAAGAGGTGAAAACTTTATCTAGGAAATTTTATACCTAAGGGAGTTAATGTTACTACCTCTTGCATTGCTTGTTCTCAACTTCTCATCCGACTTCAAGGTTATTCAGGTAGTTATCAATGTCAAATTGCATGTTTTGTGGAAGTGCCTGGAGCTGTGATCCTTTGGTAAGCAAACATTCTACTAACATCTTTAGATGACTTCCTGAATAGTTCAAATATTGGTTAACATTTTGATTGAGTGAAAGCCAAATCAAGTTCTGATCTTTTTAGACAACTCATGGAAGAATAAGAAGTTTCTATATCATCAGAACTTGACAATAAGAACATTCTTTCAGTTCAATTTCTACCTTTCACTCTTTTTTAATATTTTATCTTTCCGAACCAATAGTCCCTGTTAATGGCTTTGCTGAAGCTCATTTTAGTTCTTTTACTATTATGTTGTTTCTCTTTGTGTTTAGGTTTTCGTTGTTATTGTTATATTATGTATTCACCATTTTGTTTATGCTAGATGCATAATTTTTCAAATACAACATAATATGATTGCAATACAACATAATATGATTGCATCCTCTTGTTTTCTCCCACTCATAATTTTATTCTCCTATTTGACTAACTTTTTCTCTTCGATCATGTTGATAGATCCTACAAATGTGGCGGTTTCCCAATCAAATAGGGAGGAGGTGGATTGCCGATCAGTTTTTGTTGGTAATGTATGTCTGATTATCCCATTAGCTTTGTACCATAAAACTTATTCTAATAGAAGTTATGAATGCAATTTGTTTCCAAGACATGCTTAATTTTTCATATGAGGGCCAATCTATGTATCGCTTTCATCTGTGGAGGACAAAGTTAGATCTGTTGATTGGGGCTTTTAAGCTAGCACCAAAAGCTGTTATGTGCTATTGATATTTTGGTTAGATGACCTCATTATATTTTCCTTTTCAGATGTAATTTAAATTGGATTGCTTTGCTATGTGCTGTTTGGAGCAGGGATGGAACCAATCTCTCTTTTGAGGACGAGCAAACTTATTAAATAAATAACTAAATATTAAAAAAATGTATAAGACGCAATTCAAAATGAAATATGTTAAAGAAGGATCTGATAACATGATTAGGGTTACCTTCTAGGATTTTGGGGTTAGTTTGAAGCCTTAATACTTACGGATTCCAGAAATATGTCAGCTTATTAAGAGTCTTATCCTCAATTACCATGGGTTCTGCCTCTAGTCATGCTCATCTGGTAAATCCTTTGCTTATCATTATTATTTTTATTACTATTTTTTATTCTACCTCATATTCATTTGGCTTGTCTTGTCGTGGCTTGTATATATACCATTTCTTTCCACTTCCCCTCTCTCTCTCTCTCTCTCTCTCTCTCTCTCTCTCTCTCTCTTTATATATATATATATATATATATATATATATATATATATATGAAACTAGAAATGGCGACTAGTTGGTTCATCTGAACCAACATTAGCAATATGCAGAATTCAATCGAACCAACATTAGTAATACTACATATTCCTTGGGGCATGCAATAACATGATAATAATATTAGAGCATGTGCTTAGGCTAAAATGTTTAGACAGCTTTAATGCAAGGAATTGTTGTTTCCTTGATTTGACGCGGGAATCATTCAGCCTGCAATTGTGTGGTGACTTCCTTGTGATAAGAATTCTAAATGATAATTTGACTTTTAATTGGACACAATGGTGAAAAAGGATTCATGTAGCCGACCCCACATAGTGGGACAAAGGCTTGATGTTGTTGTTGTTGCTGCTGCTTTTTTGAATTATTGGAGCTTGAGGTCTACTTTGTCCTAGTACAATCTTGCCATTTTGAAAGTCGAATATGTTATATTAGCATCAAAGTTTACATTTATTTGAAAGGTATCCTTAATGAGCGTAATCTTTTCCATATGCAAGGAAATGTGGAGGCTACTATGATGCGCTGGCACTCCGCTTAAAGAGGGTATGCAATGTTGGACACGGACATGCGTACAGACACTGCATGGACACGTGTCCGACACGACATTGGAGTGTCACAATTTAAAAAATTAAAATTAAAATTGGACGCGCATGTCGGACATGCGTGTCCGGTTATTAAATAATAAAAAGCTAATGTACATGCTCGGTACCGTTAGGTATCGCTAGGTACATGTTCGGTACCGCTAGGTACATGTTCGGTACTGTTAGGTACATGCTCGGTACCGCTAGGTATCGCTAGGTACATGCTCGGTACTGCTCAATATCGCTCGGTACATGCTCGGTACCGCTCGGTATATTTCCTAGGTATCGCTCAGTATCTTTCCATAAGGTTGAACCCTGCCAGGGGGCAAGCTCCCCCTTGGACCCCCGGCAGACCGGTATATTATTGTATTCATGTTGTCTTATTATTGAGATATTTTGATTTCACTTCATATCAATTTAACTTGATGTATTCCTATGCATGATTGGTTTGTTACAATCTTATCTAGATAAAAAACAATGAATGATCAAGATATAAATGAAATTATAATTTCTATGTTGAAGAATAGACATTTTGTTCTAATCATCTTTATATTATAAGCTAAACAATTTATCATGAAATTGATTTATTATTGCTTGTCATTTTTAATATAATGTCACCTTAATTTCTATATATTATATTAAAAATTTATTATGCCGTGTCCACGCCGCACCCGTGTCCTATATTTTTAAAAATTGCCGTGTCCCGTGTCCGTGTCGCGTCATGTCCGTGTCGGTGCATCATAGGTGGAGGGTCTATAGATGGGTGAGTGCACAATTGAAATGCCAAAATTCAATAAAATTGAAGCAATTTCAATAACTGTCTGAACAAGGCCCAGCATATATTTTTTTAATTATTTTAATTATTTTTATTTTTTTTAAACAAGGCCCAGCATATGTGCTTCTATATCACTATATGGATCTTATACTTATTTTAAATTTCAGTATTGAGATTGGGTGCCCAACAGCAAGGGAATAATATTTATTAAAAAAAAAGGGTTAGATTATTTTGACCAAATTTGTTGTTGGATTTCAAATTAATTTATTTTGAGATGAGTGTAACATAAATTTTGATTGATTATTCATGTATTATTATTTTCATTTCTAAGTAAATTTAGTTATTTTTAAATTCATAATGATTAATATTTTAATCAGAATATCCTTTGTCAAGTTTTTTTTTTTTGCATATTTATTTTATGCAGAGTTAGCATAATTGCAGATTCCTATTTTATTTATTCCTCTTGGAACACAGATTCTTTACATACTGGACTGATATGATTGAAATAGATATTTCTTTTAAAGTTCTGATTATTTCATCCTGTTGAGGCTCCAAAGAATTTTATATCATATGGAGTATTTTTAGTTTTATAATATACATTCTGTGATATGTGTGCTTGACAAGGATAAAAATAGATGACATGAAGTCATTGAATTTAGTTTAGGTAAGCAGGCCTTATCCATTAATCAGAAAATTGAATGTATAAATGTTGAGATTCTGCATCAGCACGAATAATTTTGCCTTTGTTTATTATTGGCTTTCTTTATAATGTAAACATATCCCTCAATTTTTCAAGTAGAGTGGTGAACAAACCATATGATTCGTTGATAAGCCTTGCTATTTATTTACTCTCACTTTTGTTGTAGTATTCATGCTATGCATAGTGAGCATTTTCCTGCATGCAATAAGTTTTGGAGTGGCGTTCTCATTGATACGTTCATGTGATTTCTGTTCTTTTTATTTATGCATATCTTCAGATGGACTCAGGCTTTTACCTCACGTCTCCTAATGGCAGGGTAACTCTTCAATGTTGGAGTTCTCTGATATGTTATCCTTCAGATGTCAGGATGCTTTAGCTTAGAATTTGATCTTAGCCAATTAATGAATGGGAAAAAAAAATACTGCTCGCATATGATGCTTTAGACTCAAACGGGAAAAAAAAAGAAAAAAAAAAGGACAAGAAGAAAAGAATGGGATATTAGTGTCGAAAATAGTGAGCGTAAGAGAAAATTGAGAAAAATCCTTAGTTGCTTGTGAATTGAAGGTGGGAGAAAGGAAATGAAAAAAAAAAAACAAGTAAAAAAAAAAGAAAAAAAAAGAAAAGTGATTGAAAAAAAAAAGACAAGTAAAAAAAAAAAAAAGAAAAAAAAGTGATGATTCTTACTGCTTCACAAATGCGTAGTTGTTAAAAAAAGCATGTATGGGGTAAATAAGAAGCATCCTGAAACTGCATGCATCCATGATTGACTGGGTGCTGCAGGAAGACCGAAGTTCTATGCTCTTGGCGTGATTGAAATTTATTATGGCTCAAGAAGAACTGTTAGAGCTTCAAGCTGGCTATTCTTGGGAGTGGGTTGCTTCTGACCATGAAAATTTTCCAACCGTTGGTGAGAGGTCCTTGGTCTCTTGCTTGAATTTCCTTGCAGTGCTCTTCTATTTAGCATATTTACTTTGAAAGTTTTGCTTGATATTTTTTTTATCATGAATCCAAAGTTAGAAATGATTTTACTGGTATTTGGCAGTCTATTTTTCATCGCAACTCTGAATTATCAAGAAGCAATCTACTGTAGAATTACTGTTTGTTTTACTCACTTTTGTTTCGTTCCCAAAGTATACTTAAGAAATATAAATTAGTATTTTGATTAACAGCGTCACCATTTTTTACCCTTGTTTCCAAATTATAATATTTTTTCTTTGCCTAATAAGGCTCAGTGCTCGCCTGCTTATTATTTTTATTTTCTTGTGGATGTTCATAGTTATTTATGATGATTTATGTTTTTGGATTTAAAAGCCATATCAAACTATTTACTTGTTAGGTTATTTGTATGATGTCATTAGAACATAAATCACTTCACTTGAAAGATATCCAGAGTGACAGTTGTTGACACTGATATTGGCAGTTGCATATGGGATGCGAATGCCTTTTTTTTTTTCTGGCTATGCTATTTAACCAGTTTAAGATTTGTGTAAAGTTGAACAGCTCCATGGTAAATATTTTTCAGTCGTACAGTTGGTTTGGAACTGGGTAATTTTCTTCTAAATGGGAGACTTTAATGCCATGCCCACATACCGTTGCTTTTCATCATGAAATAACATGCTATTCAGATTATTTATTTGTTCCTGTCTTTCACTCTCCTCTTAGATTGGTCGATTATCTTATTTGTAGGAAAGAAAGAAATAAAAGAAAATATATATTTGTAATTAATGGTTGAAGAATTAATAGTTTGCATCAGTTAGTTGACCGCATATAGTTCAGATAAGGCAAAATGACAATGATAATGTTTATTAATTAATATGTTCAAGGTTTTTGTTAGACTGGCCCCTAGTGGACCGGTCCAGTCTGGTCCTCTTCTAAGGAAGAAATTATTTTGTGCAGACGTCGGACGCAACTCTACGTCCGGATTCCATACTTAGTGCCGAGCAATACCAAGCCGCGGTTTAGTAAAAAGATGACGTGGTGCATTTTTATTGGTCTCGTCATTTGGTGTCCGCACAGAATAATTTTTCCTTCTAAGGGGCCAGTTCATGTCTACAGTAGCAGGGGAGGCGGCAAGAGGGAGAGAGAGAGAGAGATAGGGTGGGGTCCACTTGATTTCAAATTCAAATTTGGAGCCAAAGGAGGGGGCGACAAGGGCCTTTAGGCCTTTTTGTCTTATTGTTTTAATTGTATTTTTTTCCTTTAAATTATTTTAATTTTATTTTTTTAAATTGTTTTAATTGTATGCCTTAAGTATGAGAGGGAGATTAGGGTTAGGGTTATGTTTGGATTTTTGTGTTCTTGTGAGGTTCTTTTTGGTGTCTTGGGCTCTAGACTCATTTAGAGATTGGGAGAGACGATTCTCCTCTCGAATCGAGGATCAATTGTATCTTTGTTTTCATGTTTCCATTAGTTCTCTCTTTTGCAATCCAATTACAATTGAGAGTTTTCCACCAAATTTTGTGTGATTCTATTGTTGTTTTTCTCTATTCTTGTTAGGGTTTACTTGAAATATTCAAGTATTTCCTATCAAATTTGTATCAGAGCAAGTTATTGGATGGTGAAGTTATCAGAGGATCTTCATTTAATGGTGAAGAAGTTATTGAAAAATTAAATCCAAATGGTGGCATTAGAGGCGAAGGAACCAATGGGAAGAACTACAAAGTCTTATTTTTGTAGGAGGGAAAAAGATTTAGAAATCATTGAGGAGAAAGGGGGAAGGTGGGGAGAGATGTGGAAATACGGAGCAAGGAGTAAAATGTGTGTTTGGGGGAGAAAGGAGGGAAACTATGATAGGAGAGGTGTTGATTTTAGAGAAAGGAGGGAAGAAAGTGAAGAGGGGTTTGAAGATGAGCATGTAAGGGAAGATCAGGAGACGTGGGGAGAGCAAAGCACTTGGGAGAGGGGAAAATATGGAGGAAAACGAGGAAATGTGGGAGAGCCAAAGGTGAGGAAGCTGAGGATGCCAATTTTTGAAGGGGAGGAAGCTTATGGATGGATCTATAAGGTGGAGATGTACTTCGTCGTTAATGGGTTGACGGATGAGGAGAAATGATAGCAGCAGACCTATGTTTGGAAGGGAAGACATTGTTATGGTTCCAATGGAGGGACCAAAAGAGGCTTATACGGAGCTGGAGAGCATTCAAGAACTATCTATTAGAACATTTTCAAATAGACGGGGGAGGGAGCTTCTATGAGCAATTTTTGCACTAGTGCAGGAAGGATCAGTGGAAGACTATTGGTAGTGGTTCAAACACCTAGCTAGTCAGATAGAGTGATTATCAGAGACTGCATTGTAGGGAAACTTTATGAAGGGGCTGAAGGTAGAGATTAGAGCGGCGGCGAAATTCATGATGCTTCGTGAGTTGGGAGAGGCCATGAAATTGGAACAACTGGTGGAGAATTAGAAGGATCTAGAGAAGGGAGCCAGGAAAAGTAGCTCGGGAGGCACTTACAGAATGATGACCACATCCACTTAGCACCCAAGGGTCCTGTAATAGGAGGATTTTGTAAGACCATCAAGGAAAGCAGTAAGGGAGGGAGCGAGGGAAATTTCAAGAGGCTGATAGAGAAGATGATGCAGGAGAAGAGGGCAAAGAGATTGTGTTTCAGGTGTGATGAGAAGTATACCCCAGGGCATAGGTGTAGGAATCGTACTCTTCAGGTTCTCACTGTCTGTGATGACGAGGAAACTGAGTGAGGCGAGAGAGAAGTAGAGGAGGAGATAGAGGAGAAAATGTTTTTGGATCTGGGCCATATGTCAGAGGTTTCCTTGAACTCGGTGGTAGGATTCACCACGAATCATATCATGAAGGTGAAAGGGGAGATAAGGGATAGGGAGGTGGTGGTTCTTATTGTCAGCGGGGCTACTCATAATTTCATTTCCACTCAGGTCGTCGACCAACTGGGAGTGAAATTGGTGGACACCGGTTGTTATGGGGTGATGATGGGTACAGAAAAGGCAAAGAAAGGCAAAGGTATCTATAGAGGAGTGATGTTGACCATCCAGGGGATTCAGGTGAGGGAGGAATTTCTCTCACTGGAGTTGAGAAGTACAAATGTCATCCCAGGGATGAAGTGGTTGTAGACCTTGGGGCACACCAAGGTCAATTGGGGAGCACTCACGATGGAGCTGAGGGTGGATGGAAGAAAGGTTGTGATCATGAGAGATGCAGGGCTATCCAAAGCTATGGTGTCACTCAAAATCATGCTGAGGAATATCCAAGAGGTGGGGGAAGGCTATTTGATGAAGCTGCATACATTGGAGGGAGGGGACATACCCCTCTCCATATAGCCGTTGATCCTACAATTCTAGGAGGTATTTCAGCCACCTCAGGGATTGCCTCCACCAAGGGAGCAGGAGCATGCAATCACCTTGAGGGAAGGTGTATCACCCATCAGCGTTAGACCTTATCGCTATCCTCAATTTCAAAAAGATGAGATTGAGAAGTTGATTAGAGAAATGCTGGAGGCGGGGTTTATCATGCCCAATGTTAGTCCTTTTTTCAGTCTAGTATTACTAGTTAAGAACAATGATTGCAGGTGGATGTTTTGTGTGAAATACAAGGCGATGAACAAAGAGACTGTGACATACAAGTTTTCTATACCAGTGATTGATGAACTCTTGGATGAATTGAGTGGGCTAGTGATCTTCACCAATATATATCTGAAGTCAGGATATCATCAGATCAGAATGAAGGAGGATGTGCCTAAGACTTCTTTCAGAATTCATGAGGGACATTATGAGTTCCTGGTGATGCCCTTTGGCCTCACTATGCCCCTGCCACATTCCAATCTCTCATGAACAAAGTCTTCAGACCATACCTTAGGCGATTTGTCTTGGTGTTTTTTTAATGATATCCTAGTGTACAATAGGACATAGGAGGAGCATTGGGAGCACTTGAGTGTGCTAGATGTGTTGCAAGAGCATCAGCTAAGGGATAACCTGAAGAAGTGCTATTTTGCCCAGATTAGTGTGGAGTATTTGAGCCATATTGTGTCTAAAGAGAGGGTGGCAGCAGATTAGTAAAAAATTGAAGCTATGTTAAGAGAGCAAGTGCCTAAGAATCTGAGGGAGCTGAGAGGATTCTTAGGGATGACAGGGTACTACAAGAGGTTTGTGAAAGTGTACAACACCATAACATGGCCACTAACAGAACAATTGAAGAAGAACGGATTCCTATGGGGGGAGGCATCCATAACAGCTTTTGAGAGTCTGAAAAAGGCTATTATGACTATACCAGTTTTAGCACTATTAGACTTCACTCAAGTGTACATAGTAGAGAGATGCTTCAGGATATGGGTTGGAGACAGTGCGACAGATGCCTTGCCCAGGTGTATGGGGGAGTTGCTGGCGACAAGAGTGTCGATTCCATTGATGTTAGATTGGGAAGCCATCAAGGAGGAGAGTGCTCGAGATGAGGAGTTGGGGAAGATCAAAGCTGATTTACTGAGGGAAGAGAGTAGCCATCCGGTGTATTCTTTGGTAGGGGAGAGACTTCTGTATTAGGGGAGGTTTGTGATGCCTCGGACATCAGTCCGCATTCCACACTTGCTCCAAGAGTTCCATTGGAGCATTGTTGGGGGACATTCAGGGGTGCAGAGGACCTACAGGAGACTAGCTTCAGAGTTATACTGAATGGGTATGCATAAGGATGTGGAGGAGATGGTGGCCAGGTGTAAAGTCTTTCATAGGAACAAATACATATCAATGTCTCCAGGAAGATTATTACAACCACTTGCTTTACCAGGTCAGGTATTTAAGGAGGTTTCCATGGATTTCATAGATTGGTTACCAAGATCAGAGGGCTTCATAGTGATACTGGTGGTGGTGGACCGCTTGAGCAAAATATGCTCATTTCATTCCCCTACGACATCCATACATTGTAGTGACAGTGGCATCAGTCTTCATCAGAGAGGTTGCCAGACTGCATGGAGTACCAGAGGCTACAATATCTAAAGGCTACAATATCTAACATGGATAATGTGTTCCTCAGCCATTTTTGGAGGGAGTTGTTTAGACTATACAGGGGACAATATTAAAGAGGAGCATCGCCTACCACCCACAGACGGATGACCAAACAGAAGTGGTCAACAGGAGTTTGGAAACTTACTTAAGATGATTTGTGTCAGTGACACCCAAGTTATGGGTCAGATGCTAGCATGGGCTGAGTATTGGTACAACACCTCTTTTCATTCTGATTCTCAGATGACCCCATTTAAGTTGTTGTACGGAAGGGATTCATCTCACTTATTGCACTATTGGCGTCAACACTCCAGTTTCTTCAGTGGAGGGGTACTTGGAAGAGAGAGAGAATATTGGAAGAGTTGAAGAGGCATCTGTTGAGAGATCAACAAAATATGAAGAAGCAGGCAAATGTGCATATGAAGGATATCCAGCTTGAGGTTAGGGGGAGAGAGTGTTCTTAAAGCTCCGACCTTAGAGGCAAAGATCAGTAGCCAACAGGAGAAATGAGAAGCTTGCCCCAAGCTATTTTGGGCCATAGAGGATTGGAGTTGTGGCTTGTTGACTAAAACTACCTCCAGCGGCGACAATACACCCGGTGTTTCATGTATCTCAGTTGAGGAGGGCAATTGGAGATTTTGCAGCAAGCTCTGAGTTACTGGTGACACTAACTGAGGATTTATAGGTGATGTTGGAACCCTTGGAGCTGATGGGGGTTCCCCATAGAGAAGATGGAGCTAAGTGTTGATCAAGTGGAAGAACCTTTCGGACTACTACGTCACATGAGAGCTATATGAGAGGGTGAAACATCAGTTTCTTTGTTTTCACCTTGAGGACAAGATGATTCTTTGAGAGAGCGGTAGTGTTAGACCGGCCTCTAGTGGACCGGTCCAGCCGGCCCCTTCTAAGGGGCTGGTTCACATCAACAATAGGAGGGGTGGTGGCAAGAGAGAGAGAGAGAGAGAGAGAGAGAGAGAGAGATGGGGTGGGGTCCACTTGATTTCAAATTTAAATTTGGAGCCAAAGGAGGGGCGACGAGGGCCTTTTGATTTTTTTGTCTTATTGCTTTAATTGTATTTTTTTTTCCTTACAGGTTAAAGTCCTTTTATTATTGTTTTACTTGTATGCCTTAAATATGGGAGGGAGATTATGGTTAGGGTTATGTTTGGATTATTTTGTTCTTGTGAGGGTTCTTCATGGCGTCTCCGACTCTAGACTTATCTAGAGATTGAGACAGACGATCCTCCTCTCGAATCAAGGATGAATTGTATCTTTGTTTTCATGTTTCCGTTAGTTCTCTTTTTTGCAATCCAATTACAATTTGGAGAGTTTTCCACCAGATTTTGTGTGATTTTATTGCTGTTTTTCTCTATTATTGTTAGTTTTTACTTGAAATATTCAAATATTTTCTATCAGTTACCTATAACTTTGTTACTTCTCTAGGCGCCATTACTTGAGTTTAATTTAAAATTTTAATTATTTTTTTCTTCCTTTTTTTGTTTATCTAGTAACATAGTGTTTCCGGCTAAATTTTAGCCTTCTCCAGATACTACAAATATGCTTTGACTTTTGCTCTTTTGGTGTGAATTGAAAAATTCACTCTTAATGAAACTGGTCTATACCTTTGACTCCCAGTGCCAGTAATCTGCCTTATAATACCAGTGATTATACAAACATTGCAGGTTGATTATGCATGCACACCTGAGGAGGTTCAGCAACATTTTCAATCCTGTGGAACTGTAAATAGGGTTACCATTCTCACAGACAAATTTGGCCAACCAAAAGGTTTTGCTTACGTTGAATTTGTGGAATTGGAGGCTATTCAAGAAGCTCTCAATCTGAATGAATCTGATCTGCATGGACGCCAACTGAAGGTCTATTTTTCTGTTTCCTTTCCCTAAATAGTTATGAGGCAAGTTATTAGGTCCGGTCACCGGACCTAAAAATAGGTCCAGACATTCAATTAAAACTTGCCACGTGGACTACGCTTTGACTGCACTTTACCTGCGCTTTACCTACGTTTTACCTGCGCTTTTGACGTGTTTGACTTAAAATTTCGCGGATACTGTGTACATTCCACATGTCATTATTTTATTGGTGTCCGGACCTATCTTTACGTCCGGTGACCGGACCTAATAACTTGCCTTATTATAGAAAAAAATTTGCCCATAATTTTGCCAGAAAAATCATATTTTGAGCAGGTGTTGCCAAAGAGGACCAATGTTCCTGGATTCAAGCAGTATCGCCCAAGGCGTTTCAATCCTTACTTGGGATATAGGGTCAGGAGGCCGTATGTGCCATCATATCTTTACTCTCCATATGGATACGGGTCAGTATACTCAGTATTCATTAAAAACTAAAAAATGATCATGATTAATCTCAAAATTGTTATATTTTCTCTGCTTTGAATACAATAAATCTTATGCGTTTGAAATTTATCCTGCTGATCAGGATTTGTTTCCATATTTATTTGTACCATTTGCTTGTCTTGCTATTAAGAGTTAACTGACGGTTTTCTTTGACCGGCACTAATTTCTTTCCAGGAAGTTTCCCAGGTTCAGGAGGCCAATGCGCTACAGACCTTATGCCTGAAAAGAGTATATTATATTTTTTGAATTAGTATTGAGTGGGGAACATATGCCAACTTAAAATTTATTTCATGTTAAACTTTGTAGAATTTTATTAAGCACATTTAAAATATGGCACATTATCAGTATAATTCAGACGAATTTTTTTTATTTTTATTTAGTTAGGTTTCATTTGGGATTACTTTTTTATTGTTTTTTAAAATAGTTTATTAGTACATAAATTAAAATTTTGTATTAAAAAGTTATTTTAAAAAGCAACAAAAAAAACCTTCTGAAATGAAGTTTATATTGAAAAATGGTGTAAATTAATTTTTCGTTTCGATAGATTATTATTTAACTGCAAATGGTATTTATGGCAAATTGTTTTTTAATTCTGTTTTTTCACGATTATAATATTTATTGACTATTTGATGCGGGTTTAAAGTTGTTTAGGCCTCTTATGTGATTTTCGCGAGCCATTTAATACGGCTTTTATGCCAATCTGTCTTTAATTTCAGTTATTAATATATTAATTTTTTTAATTAATTATTTCTATTTTTTCGAACATTTTGCTCTTGATACTCTCATTAATGTCACATCAAAATTTTTTATCAATGAATTTTTATGACCTAACAGTTAGAACTGAATAATATGATTGGATTAATTATAATTTTTAAAAAGTTTTTTAAGCTCTTTATAATATCATTCTACAATAAATTTTAGAAGCAATTTCGCATAAATATGTATACAACTATTTAATTATTTTCCTTATTATTTAAATTTTGTACTTATAAGTTTAAGTATATAGAATTATTTTATTTATAAAAAACATAAGATATTTTACTCTAAAAGTTATTAATAAATATGTTAACAATTAATAAAAAATATAAGCACAAAACTGATTACAAAATCATATTTTTAATTTTAAAAATTTTCCACTTCATTATCATTTTAAAATTAATTAATATTTCAGCATGCATATTTTAATAATGTTAAAATACATTTGACATACACATCAATTCTTATTATATAACTTTACAAGGTCAATATAAATTACAAAAAAAAAAAAAAACATGAGATGATTTACTCTTATTGCAGCAATAAATAAAAGTATAAAACAAAGGAAAAAAAAAAAAAGAAAGAGTGAAATTCTTCCTCTACGATTTTGTATTTATTTAGCACCTTTTGGTTCCTAAGACGAATTATCACATGATTTAGCAACCCCAACCCAACATTTCAGTCCAATATCACAACAACTAACTCCATTATCACAAGCTTTATATTACCGTATAGGTGAGCCAAAATAAGTCCATTATTATCTAATAAACACATCTTCAAAAGAAGGGACCCACAAATAGGGTAAATTATTACGTCCGGTGTTCGGATTCGTCCGGATACCAATCCAGAAGCGCCACATCACCAAAATACACCGGGGCCAGATGTATTTGGATGAGGTGACTCGTCTGGATTGGATGTCCGGACCTCCGGTGACCGGACACAATAATTCGCCCACAAATAGACACATCACCTACCTTAGATGGAGGTGGGTCCCATTGTTCATAGTCCAAGCAAAGAGGAGTACGCAGCAGCAGCAGAAACGGCCTGGTTGGAGTCAATCCTTCGCTTCCTGAGACGTTCAGCGATGATGAAGGCGAGCTCGAGCGACTGGGAGGCGTTCAGCCTTGGGTCGCAGTGGGTGTGGTACCTCGAGCTCAGGTCGTCAAAAGTTACCGTTCGGGAACCGCCGATGCATTCCGTCACGTTCTGCCCTGTCATCTCCAAGTGCACGCCGCCTGGGTGGCTTCCTTCCTGTTCATGCACGTCGAAGAAGGCTCGCACCTCCGCCTGCCAGACACATCAGCCCAAAACCATCAACACGTTTACTCCGTTTCCCTCTCATAGAAAGTGGTTGGCACGGCTCGGTACCACTTGTTCCAACTGCCACGACTCCCCTCTAAATATCTTTAGACCAGAGCGGTGGTAGTTGGAATGATTGGTGCGAACCATCAATTAGCCAATTACTTAGAAAGAAATAGTTTAAATTCATAAACTTTTATCTTTAGACTAATATCGATGATGATGGCTATTTTAATTTAATTGAACAGGGCTAACGTACTATTTATAGAAATATCAGTTAAAGATGTCAATCAATCAAATAATTGACATATTTTAATAGCATAAAATTAGATAAATCAAATAATTGATATCTACCAATAATATATCATCACATGGATGAAATATTCTGTGCGGACACCGAACGTCGTCCAAAACCCAATGAAAATGTGTCATGTCACCCGCTACTAGGTAGGGTGGCTCAGTATTGAGCTTGGTGCTACTGGTATTGGATGACATGGCTGCACTTGATTCGTCTCTGAACGATAAGATGTGTCCGATGTCCGCACGGAATAATTTCTCCATCACATGACAGATACTAATAAACCAACAAATCCTAATAAATGTCAATAATTTGGACAGGTATGACAGGTTGAAGAATACCTAATAAACAAGCGTCGAATAAACAAATACCACAAAAAAAAAAAAAGTAAACGATCAATAAAGAAAGTATACAACAAATGCAATTATTGGGATGAAGCTAATGATGATGATTAGAGTTTTTAAATTTAGATCCACAATAGACGTTTGGGAAGTTGAGCGTTAACCGCATATTAGATTAGAGAGGGTTAGGTACAACATGTTTGAACGGGGGACCAAAATTGATGAGAAGACTCTCAACCAATTTGTCCCCACCGCTCAGCATATTCCAGATTCCACTCATAAGAATCAAACGGTAGCTAATATGGACAGAGACATATAAACAGCGAGCGAAAAATTAGGTGTTGAATATATTTTCATAAAAAATAGTTTAAGATTGATCACAAAATTGTTAAATTTCCTTCCATTCAGACATAAGAAATTCAATTAAAATTCAATTTTTTGTCAAAGGCAACTTATTTTGCAACTTGAGGATTCAAAGGTTCAATGGACTTACTCGGATAGCATCAAAAGGGCGAGTTTTGAGGCCGCAGGGGGCCTTGATGGTGTTCCCGTGCATGGGATCACTAACCCAAGTAACAATCTGGCCGGCGGAGCGGACGGCCCTGATGAGGTGGGGAAGCTTCACCCTCATGTTCTCTGCACCCATCCTCGTAATTATGGTGATCCTCCCGGGCTTGTTGCGCGGGTTCAGGATCTCAATGATCTTGACAAGATCGCTTGGGTTCATCTTGTCGCTGACCTTGATTCCGAGGGGATTAGCGACACCACGGAGGAACTCGACGTGGGCACCGTCAAGCTGCCGGGTTCGCTCGCCGACCCACAGCATGTGGGCCGAGCAGTCGTAGTAGAGCCCTGAGGTAGAGTCCTCGCGGGTGAGTGCCTGCTCGTAGGGAAGCAGCAGGCACTCGTGCGAAGTCCAGAAGTCGGTCGTCTGCATAATTGGGTGGTCCACCGTCAATCCGGCGGCCGCCATGAATCCCAGCGCCTCGTCCACTCGGTGAGCGAGTTCCAAGTACCTGGTTCAGACAAATCACCAAACACCATGACGCCAAGAGCCATGCCCCAATTTTACTACAACTGGGAAGGCGAGGATTTGAGATTGTACCTGTCGCCTTGCTCGCTGTGCTCGGTGAAGTCGAGATTCCATTGGGTGACGCGTTGCATGGCTGCGTAACCGCCGGTGGCGAAGGCGCGGAGAAGATTGAGGGTGGCTGCCGATTGGCAGTAGGCCCTGATCATTCTTTGGGGATCCGGAACCCTGGATTTCTCATCGAACGCGTCGCCGTTCACGTTATCCCCCCTGTAACTCGGCAGCTTGACCCCATCCTTCTCCTCAAACGGATCTGATCTCGGCTTTGCGAACTGCCCCGCCATTCTCCCAACCTGATACGTACACAGATCCAGCGGTTAGAGACTGTAGCCAACAGATCGGGCGGTAGAAAGGAGCAGGAACTTCATCCAGATCCAGATCTACGGATATGCTTAAGGAAATAATTTTACCTTGATGACCGGCATCTGGCCGCCGAACATGAGAACGACGCCCATCTGAAGGACGATGCGAAAGGTATCTCTGATGTTGTTGGCGTTGAACTCCTTGAAGCTCTCGGCGCAATCGCCGCCCTGGAGGAGGAAGGCCTTGCCGAGGGCAGCATCTCCGAGTCGTTCCTCCAGGTTTCGGGCCTCGCCAGCGAATACAATCGGCGGGAAGTTCTCGATAGTGCGTAGAACCGAGTCCAGTTCTTCCTTTTTAGGATACACCGGAAGCTGCAGCGCCTTCTTAGACGTCCAGCTGTCCGGGGTCCACTTCCCAGGCCTCGTCACCAGCGAGGGCTTGTCGGTGAAGACAGGGTTCTTGGTTGGCTCCGCCGCGTGCACGGCGGAGATTGATCGGGTAGCCGAAAAAGGCTTGGATGGTAAGATCGCCTGTTGCTGTAAATTAGAGGAGCCAGCGATTGTGGTGGCTGAGGCTGAAGGGAGGTGGTGGCGTTTCAAGAGGGGGTTGGTGGAAAGGGTTGAACCACCTGCGAGTGCCATTTTCTTGTTCTGTCCTTCACGTTTCTCTCAAGATTTCTTATTTTCCCAATGCGGGATAGAGAGAGCGAGAAGGACTGCAGAGGTTTTTGCCCTGAGCAGGATCCGGCTAAGCGCATAGATCTTTTATAAGAAGGAGATAGAAGAGCGGCGTCGTTAATTCGGGGGTTGGTGAGCTTCATTACATCACGTGGTAGTTGGAGGAAGGAGGTGATGGCAAATTTGGAAAATATTTGAATTATTTTGCTTTTTTTTTAACCAGCTGCACCTAACAGGCTTGGATCGTGTCAATAAAGTTTTTTTTTTTTAAACCATTAAACAAGCAAAAGAATATTCTTTGTGCTGCGCACATTGAAGTGAAATGAGTACATTTTAATAAACAAATTTATAACAAAAATGTTGAATTAGTTAAAAACTTAAAATTTAAAATTTAATTTAATTTTGATATAAATTAAAATTAAATTAAATTTAGTTAATTTTAAATGCACTATAAAATTTTTATCATTAAATTTATCACTGTCACCAACCAACCATCGTCTGTCACCGCAAGCTATAGCTTATTGCTTGTTGGTTGCTAGTTGTGGCCACCAGTATTACTGTCGGCTACAGGTTGTCCATCGCTACTGTTGGCTATGAATAACCATCAACTGCATTATTAATGAGTTTATATTGTATTCATTTTACTTTTTTAAGCGAATCAAAAGACCCCTTAAAGTTTAAATGGTGTAGCATGATAAGAGGTGTATTTCATGGAGTTGAATGATTAGATTTGTTGCGTCCTGGAGTATTTGCGACGGTAGAGAAATATTTAGTTTAACGTCTTAGCATTGTACGAAGATCCATCACACAAACAGATAAGTAAGAGGGTGTAACATTCATAAGAGACACCAAAGTTTTTACGTGGAAAACCCCTAAAAAGGGGGAAAAACCATGGGGCCTGGCCCAGTTTGAATGAATTCACTAGTATTTGCAGTCGATTACAAATGAGGCCCTTCCTTGGGAGAAGGCCTTGGATTGATGTAGCAAATCTACATCATATAGATTGCATTACATGGTAGGAATTACATATCCATGTTTGTCTGGTCAGAAGGACCGTAGTCGGCAGGAGACCGGGGTCAGAAAGACCATTGTCTGTTGATGGAGGTCGGAAGGACCATAGTAGGCGACGAAGGCCTGAAGGACCGTAGTCGGTAGGAGACTGGGGTCTGAAAGACCGTTGTCTAGTTATGTTGGTCGGACGGATCGTAGTAGGTGACAGAGGTCAGAAGGACCGTAGGCGGTAGGAGACAAGGAGTCAGGTGTTAGACCCAGTGTCACTTGGAAGATCGGGTGTTGATGGTCTGGCCTTGACTAAGACGTCGGTTCTGAACATCAGGCCTTAAGTTCCTGCGGTGGTCCGGCGGTGGTCCGGCGAGGTTCCTGCGGTGGCCCGGCGGTGGTCCGGCGGCTGTCGAGGAGGAGCTCCTTCCTTCTCTTCTTCCTTCTCTTCTCTTCTTCTCTCTCTTGCTTGGGGTCCCCTCTCATGAGAAATGAGGGCTCTATTTATAGATTTTTTGGAGTGGCACGGACCGTAAATAGGCGTTAGATCAGGGGCGAATAGGGAGTGGTCGAATGGACGGCCGATATCGAATCCTTTGATCATGCACCGTTCATTGGGAATTTGAAGGCCTTAATGATGTCGGAATTCTGCGATCTTGGGCTCGTTGGATTTGTCTCGTCGAGCCGTTCGATTCGAGTATAAGCTCGTCAAAATCGAAGACCGTTTGGTAACTCAAATTGCAGTTTGAATCTTCCAACCGCGCTTTGAGCCCTTGATTCGGACTCATTTGGGCTCGGATTGGGTTGATCTTGGTGTCGTTGGGTTCGTATTTCCGAGACGCTCAGTTTGACTGTAAGCTCGCTGAAATCAAAGTTCGGGTGCGCCCAAAATTAATTTTTGAAGTTTCCAACTAGCTTTTGTCTCGAGATTCGTGTCCGATCAAGCTAATTTTGTGATGCCGTATCAAGATTTATAAATTAGTCAAATAAAATTTTATAAGTTATAAAATTTAAAAAATTGAATTGATTGAATTATATTTTTGAATTGACTTAAATCGAATTAAATTATAATTTAATTTGTTTGATTTAATTTTGAATTAATGAAATTAGTTTTTTCAAACTTAAATAACATATGTCAAGATAAATATCAAATAATATTTCCTAATATTTATAAATTTGATACAGATAATAAATAAGAATATCTTTATGATTATTGTTTATTTAATGTTCATGAAATTTTCATTTATTGATTGATGACATTAGTGTAATTCTTATTTTGGCTTAATCAATTTTATAAAATAAAAATCGAACAAAAAAAAAGTGAAAATGATAAGTAATAATCATATTAATGCTTAAACAATTGCAGCAACCAACCAAATACGGTCATTATTTTTTTTTTAATTTTCAATGAGCACTTAAGAGTATTTTTGTGTAATAACCTAAAATTTGAAAATGAATTATTGTGAAAATTTTGGCCTTGCAAACAATACAGCATGGCATTTGTGGAGCGCTGCCATGCCAAGCTCATGGATTTTCTAGGATTTGATGGAGCGTTGCGACATTGGGTTTGAAATTTATTTTTTAAAATAAAATATCTAAAAGTATTATTCTAAAAACCCTCGCCACACCATCTCCCTCCCCAATTCCATCCCTAGCTAGGGAACTTTTATTACATCCAGTGAACGTATGCTCCTCTACGTTCAGTTTTAGACCAAAACAGCGCAATACCGAGTTTTTTTAAAAAACTCGGTACAACTCTGTACTCGGTATTGCGCTGTTTTGGTCTAAAACCGAACGTAGAGGAGCTTACGTTCACTGGATAAAATAAAAGTTCCTAGCTAGGTGAGTGAAGAGATAGAAGAGGAGAGAAAGAAAGAGAGAGAATGAAGAAAGAGGGGAGAGAAAATGCGGATCAAGCTAGTATTTTTGGTCGCTTATTGTGAAAAATGCTCTTACTGTGGTACACAGTCTTAATCATAACTATGTTTTCAAGGGTTTTGTATTTTATCTATTTTTCCCTTTTTGAAATCCATAAAAATGCAGAATATCTCATTTTAGTGAAATTTCATCGTGTAACTTTTGGTATGCAGTATATATCATTATTATAAGCATTTTTATTACTTTATATTGAAATTCTACTTATTGATTTTGAATATATATTTTAATTGAAATGAATAGAGTAATACCGAGTATAAAATTATCAAGTGTTAGTATTGTAAAACTATGATATATGTTAAGCATCGGGAGTTATAAGAGTCTATTTTCTTATATGCTAGTACATAGAGTCATAAGAATCTGAATTCTAGTATATGTTTATGATGAATGGTATAAAGGTTTGAGAAAATTCTTTTACTTTATATTCTAATATATGAAATTCTTATTTATTTACTTTCAGTGTACATTTATTTTATTTTAGTTATCTATAATTAATATTATGCTCAGTATGATAAATTTTTAATGAATTTTCTTTACTTTTAGTTAGATGTGTAATAACTAATAAGTGAATTATTAAAAATTTATATAAATGAGAGTGAATTGTTAAGCTGTGTTGGCTTACACCTATTTTGCAATATATTTCAGGTCCGGGGAAAGGGAAAGTGCCAATTGAGTAGCTGAGGATTCATAATCTATCCTATCTGAGTTTGTAGAGGTATATATATATATATATATAATTTCGGTACAACCTTTACTAGTTTTTTATATGCTATGCTCTGGTTTGTAGCCATGTAATATATTATATAATTTTTATTTATACATCTTAATTAATGAAATGAAAATAAATTTGTGGATGAGTATTTTTTCACTTATCGGAAGTCAATTAGAAGTCTATGTTCTGTTTAAAATTGAAAAATTCTAGAGTCCTCAAAACTTTTATCTTATGTAACAAGCAACGCAACACAATATGGCCAGTTCTATTTGTGGCTCATATTGGATTGGGTTCTGACAAGTATAGTGTATTTGGGCATGAAATATATGTTATGCATTCATTTATAATTTTTTTGGTATGACATCCATTTTGGCATAATACATGCATATTAGATAGATTAACATGATATACTTATTAAATATACTATGTATATGATGATGCTTATTATTATAATTTACACAATATGAATTTTGTGTAAAAATAAGAAAGGCTAGTTAGAAACATGTTTTTCTGTACAGGATGGTGAGCCGACAGACATTTTTTTAAATAAAATTTATGGTGTAATCCTAAGTGATATGAAATATGATATATAAAGAGATTGACTAATATGATATGATATGCTTATGACCAGAAAGTGATGACTTATTACATTAAAGTCACCTGACTATGATATATGATTTGAGATTTATTTCTGGCAATATGACTGATATTATGAGATTGATTCTGGTAGAGTTGTTATACAAGACGATATAAGAAAAAATATCACATGTAGCCAAATTTCCTACCTTACTTACATATGCATATGCCATAATCATGCATAACTAATTGTATGAGTAGTGACATGACATAATATATTATGTGTGTGATACTAGAGATGATTGATACACTTATCTAATACAACTAACAAGATAAATAAAATTAATATGTATGACTTATGATATATATGAATTAGATGATATGCATGATGTATTACATTTGATGGTGAACATGATATACGTGCATTGATACTTTACAAGATGTTTAGGACAAATGTAGTGATACTAATATGTACATGAATTGACATATAGATTTAAATAAAGTATAATGTTTTATTCATGACATACCCATTATGTTGTATTTGACGTGGGCATAAGAATGACATAATAAACTAATCTTAGATAGCACTACTAAAAATTGAATTTGAATTATATTGATTTTTCTTGATCGTAGGAAATAACTTTGTTCATCTTGATTGCCACATATTCTTATAATTACATGTTTATACTGATATGTATTGAATGATTATATATATACTACTTTTATTATCATGCATTAATTGTAGTCGTAAGTTCTTAGTAACCTACTGAGTTGTTAACTCACTCTATGATTTCACTACTGTGGATAGAGAGTTGTTTCGAGATATAAGCGAGTGACACTAGAAGCTTGGTGTTGCCTAAGGAAGATGCCCTCTCATGAGCGAGTCTGGAGAGCTTCAGAATGTTGGGGTTTTAATGAGATGAGTGATGATCTGCTTTTCTGATGAGGTGCCTCCTGGTAGCCAAGTGTAGGGTGAGTTCTTTGAGCAAATGAGTATGAATGGCTCTCTCTCCTTCGGAAAATTCTAAGGACCGTGGATGAGTACTCAAAAGGCATATATTCCTAAGATAAAATATCCTCATCACAACCTAGTCACTACCTATGAGGATATTTGTGAAGGCAATTTAGGGATGTACATTAATTATTTCTTTTTGATTTGAGCTTATGAGGCGCCTCCTCAATTGTGAAGCATCCCATAGAAAAAGCGCTAGCCTCATTGGCAACACTAAGGCTTAAGCCTCGAAACGTTTTCTGTGTCTTATATCAAAGTTTTAAATCATTGCAAATCTAATGTCAAATTCATCTTTGATATTAACTCTTTTGCTCCAAAATTTATCAGAATCACATATTGCTTTTGTTCTATCATTAGTTTAGGTGTTTTATCTAGTTGCAATTTTGTTAAATTTCAACAATTTCCCTCCTCTTTTTCATGTTCATTATCACCTCAGATTTATAGGTTTTCGAATGTCACAGAAAGGCTAAAAAAAGATACACATAGATATTATTACAATGTTACATGTTAATTCTAGACCCATGGCTCCTCTTGAGTGGTCCCAAGAGAATGTATCCAACTATTCTGTGAGCTATTTGTATGTGTGTGTATATATATAAAGAGAGATAGAGAGAGAGATTGTCATGCATAATCTATTTTGTTGCATAATTTATTGAAGTAAATTAAAATATATTGAGATTTATATTTAATGTTTAATTGATGGTATAAAAAATGCTCCGTGTTTATATTTTAACACTTAGGTGCGAGTAAAAAAAAAAAAAAAACTTAGGTGTGAGTATGGTTATCTTTTACTTTTGTTAACATTAATATATCAAATAAATGCTCCACAAATGTCATGTTCTCTCAAATTATGTGAAAAAAAGTTAATTGTAGATATAAATTTTAAAACTTATAATATTATTATCAATTAAATTGATACCAATTTTTAATGTAGTCAAAGTTGTTGACTATAGCTGAGTTAAATTTATTTTACAAAATAAATAAATAAAAAATAAAAAAAACCACACGGAAACGCCGTGCCACCAACTGATCAATGACCGAGGAGAAGAATGATAATAAATGATTTTTTTAAATCTCACAGGAGTTCTGAAATAATTTTTTTAGCTCAAAAGTTTAACAAGAGATTAATAAATGATTAATAAAAAAAAGTATATGTAGTTGCCAATTTTCTTCCTTAGGGTCGCAATGGCGACGCTTCCCCGCGCGAATTCGAGTCCCGCCTTCTCCGGCAATAGCAGTGCTTTGCACTCTCAGAGCATAAGAATACGCAAGCCAATCTCCTGCTCTCCCTCTTCTGCCCACCAACTGTTCGATGAAAATCGCTACAGAGATTATTCCGGGAAGGCCGCCCTTATCCGCAGCCTCTCTCGTCAAGGAGAGCCCCTTGAGGCGCTGGACCTCTTCCGTGAATTGGCAAGTGATAACCCGCAAAAGCCCGCCGCGCTTCCCCTTGCCGCGGTTCTTCGATGCTGCACCTCTCTGCAAGCTCTTAAGTCCGGGCAAGAGGTGCACGGCTTTTTGGTTCGCAATGGCGGGGAGGAGGCATCCGCTTGCCGCACTCAAAGCGCCTTGGTTTGTTTTTACTGTAAATGCGGACTTCTCTCGATTGCACGCAAGGTGTTTGATCTTATGCCCATGAGAGATGTAGTTTCTTGGACCATCATGCTCATGGGCTATGCTAATGGGAGAGGCCATAAGGATGAACTAATGTGTTTATTCCTTGAGATGTTGTGGAGCGGGATCGCGCCAAATTGCCATACTCTCACTGTTATGCTCGGCCGTGCTTCGCTGCCGGAAGGGAAGCAGTTACAAGCTTACATTGCAAAGAGAGGTTGGAATTATGATGCGTTTACAGGAAGTTCGCTTATAGATTTGTATGCTAAGAACGGGAATTTGGATGCTGCCCAGTTGGTGTTTGATAGGATTAAATGCAAGGATATTGTCTGCTACAATAGCTTAATATTGGGTTACGGTCGAAACGGATTTGCTCGGAACCTCTTCATCATTTTCGACAAAATGTGTATGGTTGGTTTAGTTCCAAACAATTCTACCATGGTGGGACTGTTAAACAGCTGCGCTCATTTGGGGCTACTGAGCCTCTCCAGGCAGTTCCATGGTCAAGCTGCGGCAAGGGGTTTTGGCCCAGATGAAGTGCTGCAAGGCATAATCATCGACATGTACGCAAAATGTGGTGATTTGGAATCTGCTCGTGTTGCATTTGATAGAATGGAAGACGTGAAAAACATTGCAGGATGGAACTCAATGATTTGTGGGTATGGGAAGCATGGAAATGCCATGGAGGCTTTTGAGGTTTTTAATTCAATGCAGAATGCTTCATTTCCTCCTGAACACATCACATTTACATGCTTGTTATCAGCTTGCAGTCATTCTGGTTTGGTGGATGAGGGATGGAAGCTTTTCAATTCTATGGAGGAAGTTTACAGGGTTTGTCCTAGTAAGGAGCACTATGCCTGCATGGTAGATCTTTTAGCCAGAGCAGGGAGGGTAAGAGAGGCCTATGAGTTTATAAGCAGAAGTAATTTGGAGTTTGATGGTTCAGTTTGGGGAGCACTGCTTGCTGCTTGTAAGGTCTGGGGAGATGCTGATATTGGAAAGATTTCTGCCAGAAAATTGTTTGAAATTGAGCCTGAAAGCTCTGGATCTTATGTTGGATTGGCTAGTATTTTTGCGGCGAATGAACGATGGGATGATGCTGTACTGGTTAGGAGATTAATGGATGGTAATGGGGTCAAGAAAGATCCTGGTCATAGTTTGATTAATCTTAGAGGAGCTGTGCAGAAATTTAGGACTGGAGAAGGAGATATGATGAATTGCCAGGATATGGAAGAGTTAATGCTTATGTGCAGGAGATTGAACTCCAACATTCTTAGTTATGATTATGATGAGATATTAGTTGGTTTTGAAGGTTAAGAAAGACTGGACTAATATACTTATGGTTCTTTTGTTTAATGTTTCAACTACAGTGGCATCATCCATGCCACATTTGTTCATTCTAGACACTGAACATATTGAAGATACCAACGAGATAAGGATACAAGCACAAAAGTTGATTCACTAAGGACTTCCAGGATCTATATGTATCAGGTATTTTGTCCCTGCTTGGTCAATCCATTAGGCAAAAGTTTTCAAGAGATTTTTTTTTTTTTTTTAAATGAGCCTTACATAGAGAAATGCCATAATATTTAAAAAATAAATGAGAGGAAGAACAGTTTAAAAGAACCATTTATCTTTCTATGTATTTTTGTGATCATTAAGACGATAACAACAACAACAACATCAAGCCTTTATTCCACTACGTGGGGTAGTGATCATTAAGACAATACTACTAAATAGAACATATGAAAAACGTCAGATTGCATTGGTATTGAATCTATTTCTACAGCAAATGAAATAGCCCAAATTCAAAATTATGATACATGTCTAAATTCCACTGGAGAAACCTAGCTATGAATAAAGCTATAGTTCTTTACTAGGATATATATTTTGTCAAACTATTACATAGCATAAGACACAAATTTCTCGACAAAATTGAAAAAAAAAAAAAGAAACAAATCCTGTTCAAGAAAAAAATTGCGCACAAAATGACCATTATGAAGTTCAAATGAGCTTATCACCAGAAGTAGAGTGTCTACTCTTGCCATGCTTGCTGGTTTCAGTAACCTTGCTCTTGGGTAATGAGCCAGAGCCATGGCTCAATCGTTTTGTCAACTTCCTTTTAGAGCTCCCTGCTGCATCTCCTAGAGCTGCCTTAGTTACTTTCTCACTCACAACCTCCCGCACTTTGTGAGGCTTGATAGGCTGCTTATTCAGATAAGTAACATGCGGCAGAAGGCTCAAAACTGCCTTTCTGAGCTGATTATCTCCTATGTTGGCCAGTATTGGATTGCCAAGTAGATTAAGAGCCAAAAGGGAGTTATAGTTTGCTACAAGTTGGCCTAGTCCCTTGACTGTTATTATCTTGTTGAAGCTGAGGTCCAGCACTGTAAGCTTTAGGAGACGGTGAAGGCCTTCCACATTACTAATCTTATTACCCCCAAGGTACAGCTCCTTGATTAGAGTGCAACTCGATAGTCCTGAATGGATAGATTGATCAATCAAGTAGCTTGCTATGCATTTTCATTTATCAGATTCTACAAACAGAAAAAAGAAGCCATTTATTATTGGAATTACAATATGTGCTTACCATGACTAATTTTTGCGATCCGATTGTAACTTAGATTGAGAACCCTCAACCTTTCGAGGTTTCCAAGCCCTTCGATATTTGATATACTATTCCGAGATAAGTCAAGAGTGTGAAGACTCTTAGGGAGACTTCCAGGAGTAATGTTAACTGCAAAGACAGAAAGGAGTGAAATATTTATATGCGCGTAAGGAATTGTTAGCAGGGTAATCATCTTATTGATCACACCCAGATTTAGGGGGTGTTTGGTATCGGATTGGATTCAACTTTAGTAAGATTTAGTAAATTCTGTAAATCCGGATTTAGTAAATCCTAGGCTGATAAATCTTGAAAAGTGTTTGGCATGATAAATATTAAATCCTGGTAAATCCAGAGAAGTTGTTTGGCAACATATTAGAGGATTTAAAACATTTGGAGATTTAAAATTGAAGGAGTAATATTAAGTAACATTAATACACGTGTTATAAATTTGAGTTGATCCTATGCCAAATAATAAATCATTTATTTAATTAATTTGCTTAATAACAAATAATTTAAATTATATTAATTAAGATGATCTAGGGTTTGCTTTTCATCTTCTGTTTTTCGTTGTTCCTGTTCGGCTTCATCGCTTTGCAGGAGGTGTAGAGATTGCACTAGTCGCGCTTCTTTGTTGCTGCTTGACTTCGATCCTTCGGAAGTTAGAACATTTCGATCGGAAGCAACGACGGGAGCTCGCTCTCTGTGAAGGTAACTTTCTTCCTTTCGTGCGCTTCTTCGGCCAAATCCCGTAAATCCGCCGAAGAATGGTATTAGGATTTACCCAAATTTACCGGGATTTATGCTGTAAATCCATAAATCCCCGATTTACGGATTCGCAGGATTTACAGACGCTCAGAATGCGTTTGGCTGGATTTATGTTAAATCCTACTTAAAACTACAACCAAATCAAATACCAAACACCCCCTTAAGGTACATACCTATGCAGTTGCCAGATAGATTGACAGTTCGAAGGCAGGCAAAGGCTGAAATGGATGGAATAACCTTCAATCCACTGCCGGGGATATGCGCCACCGTTGAGAAAGTATTTAAAGATTGGATAATATTGTTTGCTTGTGCCACCTCCTCCGCCACACGACGATTAGTGTTAGAACAAGGTTTTTCAGAGGATTCTACAGTCTCCAAGTTCTGTAGATCGGCAGTTTGTTCATTTTCCAAGCCATCACAATCCTCTTCAACAGTAACTGGAATGAATGAACAATCATTAAGGCCATTTACCCAGGCATTAAATCTCTCCACACGAGAAGGCTCTAGAGAGAATGCAGGCCATTGGTTCTCAGGCACTACTGTTTTCTTCCACTTGTTAGATTTTTGGTAAAGTTCATGGTCATCAGACGTATACCAGCCCTTTAGATTTGGAGCACCGAGCACTGAAACTAGCTTTCGAGAAGCTTGAGGCTTGTGGAGATTACTGTGGCTCCGAAGGAAGAGTTTCCACCATACCTTCTTGCTACGAGAGGGAAGAACCTGGCTTGAAGGCCATCTCTTTAGCTTCAAACCATCAGCACTGCAAGAAGTCCTAGCAGATAATGGACTACTATAATTTTCACTAATCATTTCTACTCTGCCATTTCCTGACAAGTTCTGGAGGCTACTGTAAGAACTTGACCTCCATTGTTTAGCATGCCTGGTCTCAATGTTTGAACATGAGCGCTCAAGCACTGGTGGCCCTAAGGAAGCTGTCGGCTCCATCCCTGGGTCACTAACATGCCCACTAGCCATCATTGCCTCAGCAACAATCTCTTTATTTGTCTCCATCTTCTCAAAAACATAATTGTTTAAGTCATTGTTGGATCCATGGGAGGAAAGTTCCCCTTTGGGTTGGAGATCTAAGTCAGAGTAATCTCTCTTCATTGATTGAATCTCACTATGCTCATCACCCCCCTCATAATCTGCCTCTCCTGTAGTAGTGATAGAAGTTGCTTTCTCTACGGAGGGGAATGAGTTTGAGAAAGTTAAATGGTGCTCTTTAAGGCCATTCTCAGGAGAAGTGCTGAAAAGATCAGTAGGCTTAACCCGAAGGTCACACTTGCTGCTTCCCTTCTTACAACCATCCGCAGCTTTGGAAATTACCTAGATAAGAAGGTTGCCAAATTAGCTCACAGCTTGAAAAGGAATGAGAAAAGTAAAATAAAAAACGAAATTATTACTCACCTTGGATTTCTTCTTTTTTACAACCGAGAAGGAAGGCAAACAGGCAAACTTTGCCATGAAGTGATATTTACAAAGGAAAGGAATGTGAAACAATTGCAGGAATTGAAGAATTACAAACCTTGGCTTCTCCTACTGATACAAAGATCTCCCCCCAATTCTACAGAACTAACAAGATAAAGAAGGAAACTATATAATAACCCCAATAGTTCTATATGTAAATTGTCCAGGACCGATTATACTAAAAATTCCTTAAAATTGGATATATCCGTTCAGAATTCTACAGAAATTCCCAAAGAAAGAATACTGGGGCAGAAAAAGTAAAAGAGGAAGAAATCCTGCTCCCTCGATTTTCTCAGTACTGTTCTTGGAAATTCCTCTCCAATGATAGAAATGTAGACGCGATATCAAGTTTGCTTCTTCATGAATCCGTCCTGAAAATTAAACCCGCAAAGCCAAACGACATGAACCCGTCAGTAGAAAGATCGCAACGTTGCGCGAGGGAGAGCGAGAAGTCGAAGAGCTTCAGGCAAGTTTAGTTTGGGACTTGGGAGGTTGAGAAAAAAGTTTCTAATGGTAACGAGGATGAAGAGCTTAGAAATAGGCTAGGTCAGGAGACCTTGTCTGACACGCAGTTGGCCGCGCTCGTCCTCCCTCTGGCGCGGGCAAAACAAGTTCAACGTAATTTGGATTTGTTAAAATATTATTTCTGGTTGTATTTTACTAAAACAAAGTTGATTTTTTATTCACTTTCGCCAAACCTATTTTGATCAGTTCTCACTAGGGGTGGAAACGAATCGAGTTGAGCTCGAGTCGAGCTTGACTATCAAAGACCAAGCTCGAGCTCGAGCTCCACTCGTCTTCTAGTCGAGCGGCTCATCGAGTTCTGCTGTCGAGATCGAGATCCATCGCTGGTTGTAGCGTTCGTCCTCCCGTGGCCCTACGTTGTCGTCACGTCTACCGTCGAGATCGTCGTACCAAGCAGTTTGAGCGTAATCGTGGTCGCCCTGAGGTCCGTCTGTTGTCGAGATCGCTCGTCGTTGTATCTGTCGTCGAGTCCATCATCCTGAGCTCGTCCCGTCGCGTCTTTCGTCAAGCTCGAAAATTCTCGCTGTGAGATCGTCGCCGAGCTCGTCCCATCGTCTGCACCCCTAGTTCTCACACATGCAACTCATATGTTGTAAAATTTGGCTATCAATTAAGAGATTTTAAATTTAAATTTATGGATATAATGTGTGTATAAATTTATCTTAATTGGTCTAAACATCCTCTCCCAAAACAAAAATCAGCCCTTGCATGCCTTGAATTTTTTTTCTCGAGCAGATTAGAGGATTCGAGTGCAAGATCACCGAAAGAAATTTCTTCTATCGACCAACAGCCGCAACACGATCTCGCTTTGAAATTTGTTGGTTTTACTTTTTACTATGATATTAACCTATATGGAAGAGGTAGAGAGAATCCACAAAGGATGTATAACTTTATTCGAGGTTGTATGTTAGTCCACTACTTGATAATGTTAACTTATATATAAGAGGTCGAAAGAATCCACAAAGCATGAATGACTTATTCGAGGTTGTATGTCAGAGCGTTGTTCGATAACGTTAACCTATATGGAAGATGTCGAGAGAATCCACCATGGATGTATGACTTATCCGAAGTTGTATGCAAGAGCACTGCTCTATGACATTAACATATATGGAAGAGGTCGAGAGAATCTATCAAAGATATATGACTTACCCGATATTATATGTCAAAACATCACTCGATGACGTTAACCTATATGAAAGAGGTTGAGAGAATCCACCAATAATGTATGACATATCCGAGGTTGTATGTTAGAGCACTGCTCGATGATATTAACCTATATATAAGAGGTCGAATTAAATCCCCCTATGATCACTTTTTACTTGATTAGGAGGGACCGAACGTCGTGTGTATCCCGAATCAAAGGTGAAAAATGATTTTTTTTTAGACGGTTACTGCCTTTTTGATGTCGATATTAAGACCTTGCCCAAGGAGTAGAAGTCAAATTAGGTAATGTATAAAGTTTGAAAATTATTGGAAGTATTGTTCCATCTACTATAAGCTTTATAATCCCAAGATATCTTCTTGGATATTGAAAGAGTTGATGGAATCTTCTTGACCATGACTGTAAACAAGGTTGCCCCGATCCGCATTTAATTCCCATGAAATTGATGCATGCAGCATTAGCTGATGCAAGGATGTTAACACGAACGACTTTTTGAGATTGGAGCACAAATTGCCCGCCAGTCGAAAACCATGTTCCCATAGACGTAGCCAAACTGTTGCGTCATGTAAAGAAATATATAGTTTAACGTCTTAGCTTTATAAGAAAATCCAACAAATAATCAGATAAAAGAGAAGGTGCGACATTCATAAGAGATAAAGATTTTTACGTGAAAACCCTTGAAAAGGGAAAAACCATGGGGCCTAGCCCAGTTTGAATAAATCCACTGGTTTTTGTATTTGATTATAAATGAGGTTCTTCATTGGAGGGAAGGCCTTAGCTTGATGTAACAAATATACATCATATAGAATGCATTAAATGATGTGACTTGAAAGAGTCACTATTGATATATTTATTTAGTCGGTAGAACTATAGTCGGTGGTCGATGGAGGTCGAAAGGATCGTAATCTGGTGATGATGGTCGGAGGGACCGTAGTCAGTGGGCGATAATGGTTAGAAAAGATCGTTGCATAGTGACAGAGGTTGGAAGGTACACAATCTGGCTATGGAAGTTGGAAAGACCATAATCAGCGGGTGACAGTGATTAGAAAGGCCGTTGTCTGGTGACGGATGTCGGAAGGACCGTAGTTAGTGGGCCATAGTGATCAAAAAGATTGTTATCTGACGATGAAGGTTGGAAGGACTGTAGTCGGCAGGTGACAGTAGTCAGAAAGACTGTTGTCTAGTGAAGGAGTTTGAATGGGTCGTAGTCGGCTAGCGAAGAAGGTCAGAAGTCCTATGATGGGCGGAAGTCCAATGTCAAGTAGAAGTTTAACGATGGACTAAAGTTTAGCAACATATAGAAGTCTGACGATAGGCGTAAGTCCAACATCATATAGAAATCTGACGACATGCAGAAGTCTGGCGTCAGGTAGAAGTCGGATGAAAGTTCGGCGACATGTAGAAGTTCGACGACTAGTGGAAGTCTGGCGCCGTGTAGAAATATGACGACAGGCGGAAGTCTGACGTCAGGTAAAAGTCCGACGAAGGGCAAAAGTCCGACAACGGGTGAATGTACGACGTCGGGTAGAAATCCGACGACAAATAAAAGTCTGGTGTCGGGCGGAAGTTCAGCGTTGAGTAGAAGTTCGACAAAAGTCTGGCGACATGCATAAGTCTGGTATCTGTTTGTGGCCGAGAGAAAATCCTATGTAAGTTGGTGGTCGGGCAGAAATCTGACATCAGTCGGTTGCCGGGCAAAAATCCGGCGTTGGTTAGCAACATGGAGGAAGTCATCGTCGGTCGGATGTTGGGTGGAATTCCGACAGTGATCGAGGAGGAGTCTGGTGGCAAGAGAACTCAAGTTTCTCTTCTTCATTCTCTTCCTTGCTTGACCCCTTCTTCCTTCTTGCTCCCCCCACATTTCATGAGGAATGATGAGTCTATTTATAGTTTTCTGAGAGTGACATGACCATTAAAAAAGAGGAAGATCATGGGTAAATTGAGACAGGTATGAATGGACGTCCGATGTTAAATCCCTTGATTATGGACTATTTACCGAGCATTTGAATGTCTTAATGATATCAACATTTAACAATCTTGGGCTTGCTGTATTCATCTCATCGAGCTCGATTCTACTATAAGTATGTCACGTTTGGAAATTGTTTGGTAATCCAACTTATGGATTGAACCTTCCAAATGCACTTTGAGTCTTTGATTTGGACTCATTTGGGCTAGTATTGAGTTTAATTTGGTGTCGTTGGGTTTGTATTTTTGAGACGTTTAGTTCAACTATAAGTTTAGTAAAACCAGAGTTCAAATGGTCTCCAATTTAATTTTTGAAGTTTTCAACTTGATTTTGCTCGTGCCCGTAAATTTTTAATGATATATCAACTATATTAAAAATTCCATATATTTGAAATTTCTGCACAGTTAATTCATCCTCACAAAATTTTCTTGATAGGGCACGAATCTCGATGCAAAATCAAGTTGGAAACTTCTATAATTAAAAGTGGGACCATTCGAACTTTGATTTTAGCGAACTTGCAGTCGAACTGAACGTCTCGAAAATACGAACCTAACGACACTAAATTCGACTAAATCCGAGCCCAAATGGATCCAAATAACGGGTCCGAAGAGCTATTGGAGGAACTACAATTTAGATTACAAACGGTTTTCAAACATGACATGCTTATAGTCGAATCAAGCGGCTCGACGAGTCGAATCCAACGAGCCCAAGATCACTGAATTCCGACATCACTAAGACATTCAAATGTCCATCAAACAATCCATGATCAAGGGATTCAACATCGGTCGTCCATCCAACCACTCCCCATTTACCTTGATCTCTCACCTATTTATGATCCATGCCACTCTAGAATTCTATAAAAAGACCCCTCATTTCTTTTGAAAGGGGATCGAAAGAAGGAAGAAGAGAAGGAAGAGAAGGAAGAAGCGCATCCTCGACCATCGCCGGACTTCCGCCAGACTACCACTTTAGGCCATCACCTTCACCGAATCACCGCTTGACGTCGTTTCTCCGCCGGACCATCATTTGAGGCCCTCACCTCCGCTGGATCATCGCCTGACGTCATTGCTCCGCTGGACAACCACTTGAGGTCATGAGCTCCACCAGACCACCACTTAAGGCCCTCACCTCTGTCGGACCACCGCCTTACATCGTTGCTATGCCGGACCACCACTTCAGGCCCTCACCTCCGCCGGACCACCGCATGACATCATTGCTCCGCCATACCACCATTTGAGGCCCTCACCTCCGCCGGACCACAACCTGACGTTGTTGCTATGCCGGACCACCACTTGAGACCCTCACCTCCGACGGACCACCGCCTGACATCGTGCTCTGTCGGACAACCGCTTGAAGCCCTCACCTCTGCTAGACCACCGCCTGACGTCGTTGCTCCACTGGATCACTACTTGAGGCCCTCAACTCTGCCGGTCCATCTCCTGACATTGTTGCTCCGCCGGACCACCACTTGAGGCTAGGACTTCTGCCGGACCACCACTTGAGGCCCGAACTTCTACTGGGCCACCACCTGACACCCAGAGTTCTACTAGAGTACCGCCATACAACAACGATCTTTTTGACCCCGATCTCTTGCCAACTACGATCTTTCGGACCTCTGTCTCCTGTTGACTACGGTCCTTCCGTTCTCCGTTGCCTACTATGGTCCTTCCGACCTCCATCACCAGACAACGATCTTTTTGACCCCGGTCTCCTGCCAACTACGGTCTTTCTGGTCTCGATCTCTTGCATACTACGATCGTTCCGACCTTCATCGCCAGACAATGGTCTTTCTGACTCCTGTCTCCTATCGCCTATGGTCCTTCCGACCTCCGTCGCCTACTACGGTCCTTCCGACCTACATTGCCAGACAACAGTCTTTCTGACCCCTGTCTTCTGCCGCCTATAGGCCTTCCGACCTTCGTCGCCTACTATGATCC